TGCTACAATCACGCCTTCCCCGTCGACGGTCTGCGCCAACGGTGGCAACGGCAGGCCAGGCGCGGTCGTCACAGTCACCCGCGGCGGCAACGGCGGCGTTGCCACTCAGACCGACATTGTATACCAGACGACAAGGGTGCCGGGCACTGTCTGGGTTGGGTACGTCTCGAATTTTCTCCTTGCTTTTCCTTCACGCATCATCATTCCAGCTCAAGCTAACAATTTGTAGTCAAACACAGTACAGCACTATTTCCAATGGTCCCAGTGCGACGGCTTGCTGGAGAGCTGGCGGCTGGTACGGCGCCTAAACTGGCCCGGAAAAATATCAGAGGTGGGGTTTATGAAAAGGGTATCTCCTTGTCGTCTTTTCTTCCCTTCTTTTACGAGTCACCTACTATTGCTAGTTTCTTCTCCGTTCACTTTGTCGACGTATCCAGAGCCGTATATTTCTAGTGGAAATTGGGAGTCCAAAGGAATATTCGCTGGCAGGTTGGTGCTTGATGGCTTTTGGTATAAAAGCAGTAATTCGAAGAAATATATCACGGCCGATTTTGATGAATATTTGAAGGCCTGTAATGAATGTGCCCATGCGAACGACAATGTAGATTCGACTGCAGAACAAGTGACCTATGGTTGAATGAAAGGTCGTAAAAGAAGAAAAAAGGACAATGGCCGCAGCGGAGAGAAGAGGCTTAGGAAAAGGCAGTGCAAATGAGACGAAGAGACAATAATATGGAAACAAAGCAAAGACCAAAATTGGATGTCAACCAAAAACGCCGGCGTTGAAGACCGTTCACAAGACCAGGAAGTGGTAGAAACCAAAAGAAAAAGACAGAACAAAGAAAAAAGAAGTGAAATGGAAAGAGGAGAGGAGTGTACAGAGAAAGGTAGGATGAAGGTGATTTTGCAGTGTTTTGTATACATAGCGTACGTTTTTTTGTTTCTTATCTTTTCTTCCAATGGTTCCTCGGCCCAGTATGAATTTTTTAGATCATTTCGTCATGTTGAAAAGATTGGCATCGGTCACTCTCGCACCCTTTTACTCCTTGGTCGACCAGGGCAGGGGGTAGGTCCCAACCCAGTCGGCAACCTCGCTGCGCAGCTGCAGGATCTCGGGCACACCATCGCCGTTGCCCAGGTGGTCTAGGAACACCCGCAGACGGCCAGCACCCTTCACGCCCTTCTCCTCGGCCTCCTTGCGGGCCGCCTTGTCCACGCGCACCGCAATCGTCACGGCGCGGTCGACAATGTCGGCCACCCGTGCAAAGTCGTGCTCGCTGAACCCGCGTGTTGTCATGGCAGGCGTGCCCATGCGCAGACCGCCGGGTGTCAGCGCTGAGCGGTCGCCCGGCACGGTGTTCTTGTTGGCAGCGACACCGACCAGCTCCAGTACGCGCTCGACGCGACCACCGTCAATGCCCTGCGGTTTGAGGTCGGCCAAAACCAGGTGGTTGTCAGTGCCGCCCGAGACGAGCGAGTAGCCGAGGCCACCCTTGTCCTTTGGTTCACCAAGGCGCTTAGCCAGCGCTTGGGCATTGACAAGCACCTGTTCCTGGTAGGCACGGAACTCGGGGGTCTGGGCCTGCTTGAGGGCGACAGCGAGAGCGGCAATTGTGTGGTTGTGGGGACCGCCCTGGTGGCCGGGGAAGACGGACGCGTTGATGGGGTTCTCGAGGTTGTATAGCTCCTCCTCTTTGGTCTTGGCGTTGACACGACGCACGCCGCGACGGAAGAAGATCATGGCTCCGCGGGGGCCGCGAAGTGACTTGTGTGAGGTGGTGGTGACGATATCGGCGTAGGCGAAGGGGCTCGGGATGGACTTGGCGGCAATCATGCCGGACAGGTGGGCAACATCAGCGAGCAGATAGGCATTGATCTTGTCGCAGACCTCACGCATGCGCTTGTAGTCGATGAAGCGGCTGTAGGCGCTGGCACCTGCAACAATGATCTTGGGCCGGTAGATGAGGGCCATCTCCTCCATCTTGTCATAGTCGATGTAGCCGGTGGACTCGTCGAGGCGGTAGGGCAGGGTCTCAAAATATTTCGAGATGAAGGAGATCTTCTTGGTCGGCGTCTGGTATCCGTGCGACAAGTGGCCGCCATGGGGGAGGTCGAGGCCCATGAGGCGGTCGTGGGTCTCCATGAGGGCGGAGTAGACGTACAGGTTTGCGGGAGCACCGGAGAGAGCTGCGACTATGTTAGACTGAAGCCTACGATGTGATCGCATTGTATATGGAGGTCCAACGTACCCTGTACGTTGACACCCCAATCCTTATCGGAGAGGCCAAATGTCTCCAGCGCGCGTTGTTGGCACAGCCGCTCGGACTGGTCAATGAACTCGTTGCCGCCATAGTACCGAGCTCCGGGATAGCCTTCTGAGTACTTGTCTGTCGTCTGTTAGCTTATCTCCCGTGCGTAGCGGTTGTTTTGTGCCTTCGCGAGTCCATGTTCCGAGGACAAGAGTAAACGCACTCTGCATGGGGCTGCCTAAGGCGTCCAGGACGGCCTGGGACGTGAAGTTCTCGGATGGGATCAGGTTGATGAACTGCTTTTGGCGCAATTTCTCCTAGAGGGCTGTTAGAATACTGCCGCGTGGTATCGGCCGAATGGGTCGAGATAAGGGGACCAGGACGGTATCACGCACCTTCTCGATAATCTCGTACATGGTCGGGTCGGCCTGTTGCAAGTGTGCTGACAGGATCTGCGATTCATGTTAATTACTTGGCCTGGCATTTGTCGTGTGTTGTGTTTAGGTGTTATGCACCTTCTGCTGGCCGTCTTGGCTGTGTGTCGACACCGTCCGGGTCCGTGTCCGTGCGGCGGCAAACGGGGAAGCTGGGGCCGTCCATGGCCGGGTGGCCCGAGCAGCACGGGCGGTGCTCCGGAAGAGATGAAGAGACATGGCGGCGGCGTAGTGAGCTGGGCCGCGATTGTTGTCTTTGTCCGGACGAGGGGACGCGGAGGAACGGACTAAACGGCAAGCTTCAATTCGAGCTCTAATCTATGCTGGCGGTTCTTTTTGCTATGCTGTGGAGGCCCTGGTTTCTCAAGTTCCAGAAAACTAGAGACGTCGTTGACGGGGAACTGACGAGGTGGTGAGAAGAGGAAGAGAGAGAGCAGAAGGGTGGTCCGACACTTGAGCCGGCTTGCGTGACGATTTTGGTGCCGCGCACGGTATATATCTGGGTTTTACTTGGACTAGCTTCGAGCGGGGGAAGGTACGCAGCGTTACGGATTGGCAAATAACACAGGCAGGAGAAGCCGTTGTGACTGTTTGCAAACACTACAACATACTAAAACAGAAGGTATTACGACGTACAGAATACAGTTGGCAGATACAGACGGAAGGCGCCTGCGAACGGCTCGTGTCAATTCTGTAGCAGGTGTCAAAGAGGAAGGAGCCAGCGATACCAGCGATCCGTCCTATCGGAAGCCCCAATCTAGAGCCATGAAAGGCGTCTATGACGCTGGCCAGGGTCGGTGAGGTCACCTCCTCTTTTTCCCGTTCGTCTGCCGCCGGAACGTAGGACTTGCGCCAGAAGGACCGGAATGCGCTTTATAGCGGTCTTCTGGGGGTGGCCGGCGGTACTATTCTGGTGCTAGATGCCATAAAATGGCCTTTTCTAGTAATTCTAGTGGCTGGCCCCGCTGTGGAACAGACCTGTGGACTGCCAGCCATTCTTGCTTATTTGGGCAATTTTGCCTGCTTCGGATTTTTCATCTGAAGACTGGGGCTGCCCCAGAAGGAAGGAGCAGATACACGTGACCCAGGCTCGGACTGCGGGTACAAATTTTTCTTGAGCCAGCCGAGGAAATTTCGACAGCTTCCCCTTTTCTTCTCTTTTTCTCCCTAACAACTAAACTTGGGAGTGATGAGTCTGTTTCGTTTAAACGCCAGATCGTTTCCACACGGAGGCAACTTCGTGCCTGGGAGCATGCTGAAATGTCTTGGCACTTTCACCACCTTCGACAGGAACAATTTGAAACTTCTGACCCAACATAAAGTTGTGACTCTCTTTTCTACTTTACGTGCTCTCTTCTTGATTTTTGCCCTTTCATGTCTTGCAGTCTACTTTCTCCTCTGTGCTACGTCTACCTCCTTGTCTCTGTTGACCAACATCTCAGCGAGTGCCGTTGGTTTCGTGTCTTGTCTTGGTTGCGGTCTCGAGCTCTTGTCATTGTCGAGATTATGTCGATGATATTTACATCACACGCACTTGAAGCCTCCTCCAGACCGGACTTACCTATTGTCGTTTCAGTTAATAGCTCGTACGACGCACCACATGTTGTATTGTAACGCATTGCGAAGGACGCCCATCCTTCTGTTTTCAATTGTTTTTATTCGTTCAGACGATTTTGTATCCGTTACCGCTTGCTATGCTCCTTGCCCGTTCTACTCTTTAACACCACGAACACGCAGTGTACTTCGTAGAACAAGGAGCACGACCTAGAGGGCCTAAAATCCAGATGAAAATGGCAAAGACTCCGTATGCAAAATCCGCCTGTATTTTGGCCTGCGCTCCCGTCAAAAGCGGAAAGCCCAAATGAGGAAAGCCATGACGGCATGAGAAGCTGGGAAAAGAAAGTAGGAGAAAAGACATCATCGAATGAGAGACAAAGAAGAAGCGAGATGAAAGAAAAGGCAACAGGCCTAGACATTAAAGAGAGATAGGAGTGCACAACGCAGAGACGGCAGAGGGAAATCAGCAGACTGTGGGGGTCAGAAGCACAACAGAAGAAAAAAGATGATGAAATGTCCTTTTTTAATTTTTGATGTTCCGCCCAAGAGGGTGTTGTTTTGTGTTGATCCGGAAAACTCCATTGTTTTTGTTTTCGCAAAAAAGATGCAGCCCTCTCGCTGTCCGGTCCCGGGGCCGCCGTCGCTGCTGGTGCCGCCTCATCCTCATTCTTTCCTGGCAGCTGCAGCCGACCGCTGCTGCCGTCGACGCCGTCCTTCACGCCCACTCCATTTTCATTTTCGTTTTCAGATTCGCACTGCTTTACTCCTCGTCCTCGCCCAGAATCGCCTGCCGCTTGGCGGTCTGTCTCTCCAGCTTCCGCTCGCGTGCGGCCTTGGTCTTGGCGCGCTTGGCGTCCATCTCGTCCTTCAGCTGCTTCTCGCGGGCCTGCTCGGCCTTGGCGCGGTGAATCTGTGGATGGGTTAGTTGTGCTCGTGCACAGAAATATGGTATGCACATCGTTCGGAGAGGTTTTGTTACGTACGTGCTCAACAAGCGCGCGCTTGTGCTTGAAGGTGTTACCCTTGGCCAGGTGGTACAGCTCGTGGTACAGGTGCTTGTCGATCTTGCCCGACGCGCGGTACTTAACTAGTAACCGGCGGAGGACACGGAGACGGCGCATCCAAAGGACCTGCCTATGGGGTTGTTAGAAGGCCATAACAAAACAGATACGAAAAGTTCTTGGATATTGCACTCCAACTGCCGGAAAGAAAAATACGTACTCAGGCATACGGGCATCGGCGGTACCCTTCCGCTTACCGAAGCCACGGTGACGGCCGATGCGGCGGGCCAGGTTCAGCTCACGGGCACGCGACCGCGAGTGCATGGTCGCGGGCTTGCGGATGATCAGGCCATCGGAGACGAGCTTGCGAATGGTCATGCGAGAGTTGGCGTTGGAGATCTCCGAGACCTCGTTGGGGTCCAGCCAGATCTTGTTCTTGCCACAGCCCAGGACGGACGAGGCAAGACGCTTCTGAGTACGCAGGTTGACCCTGGACAAAAAAAAAAAAAAACGTTAGTCACCGCTTGCTAACGTCAAAGAACTTGATCACAGAGCCATTCGACGGTCGACGATGCATGCAAATGGCGGGCGAGCGGTCTGGTAGAGCGAATTCGGTTCCTTTATGGATGTCGTGTCTGTCTCTTGTTGGCCTGTTGTCTATGTCTTTCGATTGTTCGTCGATTCTTTTCTCCTTCCGATAACGATATATTCCCAATATTTCGTTTGTCTTTCGGTGGACGTCGTTGTCGTTGAGATGGTCGGTATTTTCCGCGAACATACTGTTGCCTCATCGCCCGATGACCCTGCAACGCATTCCCGATCATCTCCCTTCGTGATCTCGCCGCCGTCCGAACATCAAAAGTCGCCGATTCGCCGTTCCGCCATCGAGGTCATCACGGAGCCCTTGCCATCAAATGCATCATCGCAATCGAATTATTCTGTTCTGCTAATGGTAATAAGCAAAACTCACATCTTGAATATTGTTCGGAGGTGGTCGTGGTGCGGTTGTCGATGTCGGATAAGGTTGCTGAAGTTGAAAGAAAGAGGTTTCAAAAAACCACACACAAAGCGAAAAAACCTATCTCAGGAAAAAAAATTGGAATAGAGGGAGGGGGTGCGCATGGCGGTAGGCCACACTAAATCCGGTTTGAGAGCACATTTCGTGTGCCGATTGTGTGGGCATAGACGGCGCTAGTATTCATTGGGCTAAAGGAAGGGCAACCCCAATCGCCCTATCGCTGCACGTGATGTCCTCTAGTCGCAGACTGTGCGAAAATGACTCCGCACAGTAGCCGTCCTCAACGAGCGTTTACTCCAAAGAAACTTGCAAAGGTAACTTTGGAGGGGTAGCCCGACTAAGAGCGTCCAATCGATGTTTCCCTTTTCGTCAGTTAGAGCACTTCGTCATGTCCTTTTTTATTTTGCTTGAGCCAACGTTGTTCCGACCTCGCATCTCCTCTTTTCTCCCTTTCGCATCTTAACGACGACAAATTGAACAACACCTCCGACACCCTCCGCCCTCCAACCTCCACAATCCCTCCCCCCACCGCATCACCTCACACACATCCCAATCGAGACACAATGGCCAGCCAAAGAATTGCCATCATCTCGGTCTATGACAAGACCGGGCTGTTGGACCTGGCCAAGGGCCTCGTCAAGAACAATGTCCGCATCCTGGCTTCGGGCGGCACGTCCAAGATGATCCGCGAGTCGGGGTTCCCCGTCGAGTGAGTGCCGTGTTGTTGGTCAATTGTGAGGTTTGCGAGCTGCGGCGTCTCTGCGCAATGGCTGCAGTTGCGCTTGTGGTGGGCGTTCTGTTGTTGCCATCCGCCGGACAGCTCTACTAACAAACGTTTACGTCCTCTTCTCTAGGGACATCTCGTCCATCACCAAGGCCCCCGAGATGCTCGCGGGCCGCGTCAAGACGCTGCACCCCGCTGTCCACGCCGGTATCCTGGCGCGTGACCTGGCCTCCGACGAGAAGGATCTGGCTGAGCAGAACATCGAAAAGGTCGACTACGTCATCTGCAACCTGTATCCCTTCAAGGACACCGTCTCCAAGATCAACGTGACGGTACCCGAGGCCGTCGAGGAGATTGACATTGGTGGCGTCACCCTCATCCGCGCGGCAGCCAAGAACCACTCCCGTGTCACCATCCTCAGCGATCCCACCGACTACGCCGAATTCATCAGTGAGCTCGAGGCCGGCGAGGTTAAGGAGACCAGCCGCAAGCTGTACGCCCTCAAGGCGTTTGAACACACTGCCGACTACGACGCCGCCATCTCTGACTTCTTCCGCAAGCAGTACGCCGGCGACGGCTTCCAGCACTTGGCCCTGCGCTACGGTGCCAACCCCCACCAGAAGCCCGCTGCTGCCTACGTCAAGGAGGGTCGCCTGCCCTTCACTGTCTTGAGCGGCGCCCCCGGCTACATCAACCTGCTCGACGCCCTGAACGCCTGGCCCCTTGTCAAGGAGCTCAAAGAGGCTCTGGGTCTGCCGGCCGCGGCATCCTTCAAGCACGTGTCACCCGCTGGTGCTGCGATTGGCACGCCCCTGAGCGCCGACGAGCGCAAGGTCTACATGGTCAACGACATTACCGGCATCGAGACCTCGGCTCTGGCCCAGGCCTATGCCCGTGCGCGCGGTGCTGACCGCATGAGCAGCTTTGGCGACATGATCGCGCTGAGCGACACGGTCGACGTGGCCACCGCCTCCATCATCGGGAAGGAGGTGTCGGACGGCGTGATCGCGCCCGGCTACGAGCCCGAGGCCCTGGCCATTCTGCAGAAGAAGAAGGGCGGCCGGTACCTGGTGCTGCAGATCGACCCCGAGTACTCGCCTCCCGCCCGCGAGACCCGCACGGTCTACGGTGTCACGCTGGCGCAGCACCGCAACGACGTCGTCATCTCGCCCAAGTCGTTCAGTACCATCATCACACCGAAAGACGCCGGGGCCCTGCCCGAGTCGGCCCTGCGCGATCTGACAGTCGCCACCATTGCGCTCAAGTACACCCAGAGCAACTCGGTGTGCTACGCCGCGCGCGGCCAGGTGGTCGGCCTCGGTGCCGGCCAGCAGTCGCGCATTCACTGCACGCGCCTGGCCGGTGACAAGGCTGACAACTGGTGGCTGCGCTTCCATCCGCGCGTGCTGGGCATCCAGTGGAAGAAGGGCACCAAGCGTCCGGACAGGAGCAACGCAATTGACCTGCTGGTCAGCGGCCAGCTGCCCAAGTCGGGCTCGGAGCGCGAGGCCTTTGAGGCTGTCTTTGAGACCGTCCCGGCCGCCTTCACCGATGCCGAGCGCGAGGAATGGCTGGCCACTCTGACGGACGTTGCCGTCTCCAGTGATGCATTCGTATGTTTTCCTATTCTGTGTTTTCCTTTGAAACGTCGCCCAAGTTTGTACCTTGCTAACATCACGACAGTTCCCCTTCATCGACAACGTCTACCGCGCCGCTCGGTCAGGAGTCAAATACATTGCTGCGCCCGGCGGCAGCCAGAACGACCAACCCGTGTTCGACACGGCCGAGAAACTGGGTATCACCTTCGTTGAGCAGAACATTCGCCTATTCCATCACTAAAAATCACTAAAAAAGGCTGTTGCAGCGGGAGTGCGACTTGGGAACTGCACTGGAATTTTTCGTTTTAAACACAATTGTACAAACCACAAAAATGATCTCATTAAAGGAGGAATTACTTCAACAGCTTCACCTGATACCCAGAAAAAAATGCTAAAATAACCAAGTCATCGTATCAATTACATTATTATTCATAGGAAAGTCGCATGTCAGCGCACGACTTACACAGACACACATAAAGCAAGGAAGATCCCGCAAGTGGAAAGCAGAATGAATTTGGCCACCGCTTCTTTTAACGGGTGGGAGAAAAACAATGTTATTTGAAATTTAAAGCAATCTCAATTTCATTGCCCGTTTGTACGGCTTGCAGATTGTATAGAAGATACGAGTTTCTTCCTTTTTTTCCCTTTGTTTGTAAAGCTGCTTCAGCTTTGTACGTCGTAAAGAGCCAGAGCAGAGAGTTGTTTTAGTTCTGCCTCCTGGTGAAATGGCGGCCGCTCATTGGTAGGAATATGACGTAAGCTTCCAATGTCGCGGAAGGAGGGATGGACCTCTGTTGCCTCGAATAAGTAGCGAGCTCTCGACGCTCTTCCTGATAGACAACACTGCGAAGATCAAAGAATCAAACGTCCTTGAAACCGAGTGCATTCTTCTTACTACGTGCAATTATGGATGTGCGTTGTCTCTTTATCGACTCCCCTTGTCCCTTGACGACCCACTAACATCGCCCTCATTATAGGCCGTTACTGCCTACAGCCTCGCGTCGCTGGGCTGGCTCAGTGCCCAGGCGCTGCCTCTCATTGTGTGGCCATCGTTTGTTGTTTCGCTTGTGATGACGGAAGGTCCGGTTCCTGGTAGGTTGCTTCCACTGCCCTCTGCGTCTTTTATTTGCTTTGCCGGCCCTTTTTGACGCATTTCAGCCGTCGCCGTCTACTTTGCTCGCGCTCTTGGCCTCGGTCAGCTGGCCCTGGCCCTGCAGACACTGGTTCTTTCCGGCTTGCTCCCTCTGCACGCTGTAGACAACGACCACGGGTCTGCCTCACCCTACGCCTGGGCCGCCTTGTTTGTCACGACTCTCTACCACGGCGCGGCTGCCTTTTACAGCTACGGCTGCTATTACTACGACATCCACCCGACAGTCACGGCCTTCTTGGTGGGCTGCACGGGCAGCAGCATTCTAGCGGCCATTGGGGTGTGGTGTTTGCTCTTTGGCGAGGGCAGCCGGATCAGCAAGCGGACGGGGGCAGATAAGCGCACGAGTGGGTTCCCCTTTACGAACAAGGAGGCCGAGAAGCGCAAGGTGCGGTAGTGACAGTCACAGAAAAGAGAAGGACAGTAGAACAATAGAACAATAGGGCAAATAGGGCAAACGTGCATCCGCTTTGCACGTTTTCGCAGGTTTGAAAGAGAGCCCGGAAACAACTGCTTTGTATTTTGCACACCGTTGGATGACATTTTGTACCTTCCCAAGTCTCCGGACCCAAGAAAGGATATCTACAAAAGGAAGGTTTAAAGACATAACTGAATAGTAAAAACTCCTTAATAGTACAATATGAATACCGCCATGACCAGGAGGAACGAGGTGCCTGAAGACAAACAAGAAACGAACGAAATAAGCAAGACAAAAGACCTTAAGTACCGTTGTAACTGATTCAAATGGCGTGCACCGTGACCAGGGGGAGCATATACATATGGCCTCCGTGAACGTCGCTCAAACGTGGTGGATTACTAGTCACCATTCACAGCCAGCTCATTCCGCAGCGAAGATCCGCCAGCGACCGAAAATGACGTCGTCTCTGCAAAGGAGTAGTCGTCACGGGTGGCATCGGGGTCGAGCATGACACTCGGCACATCGTCGTCCTCATCGTCGTCTCCATCGCCATCCCCGTCGGCATCCCCGTCGACATCCCCGTCGACATCATCGTTATCATTGTCGTCGTCGGCGCCCGAATCGTCATCGTCCTTGCCACCATCGCCGTCATTGTCGTCATCGTCGGCATCACCACCGCGAATCAGGCCAGCCGCCTCCGCCGCAGCCTCCTCTTCCGCCTCCTTGGCGGCCTCTTCGGCAGCGCGCTTCGCCTCCTCGATGGCGAGCGTGGCTAGCACCGCCTTGCGCCGCTCGTACCAGTCTTTCTCGCTGAGGATAACTTGGTCTAGCAGCACCTGTTGCTCGAGCCAGGCGTTGTGCGCGGCAGCCTCCCATGCGGCACACTCCTTGCGCAGCTCCTCGCTCTCGTCCTCGGCCCACTGCAGCTGCAGACGGCAAACGCCGTACAGCTCCTTGGGCGACAGCTCGAGCTCATGGGCGGTGAAGCCCTGGTCTTTGCCGAGCGCAGTGGTCTCGGCACCCGTGTAGTGGAACAGGCTGGGGTCGTCATAGGCGCTGCTGTCGACCGAGTCGTCGTGGCCACCCGCATGGGAGAGGGGCGTCTTGATAATGATTTTGAGCTTGTTCGGACCGCCGGCCTTGCCGTTGGTTGTGGCAGCAGCCGGCGCTGCGACGCTGCCGTTGACGGCACTTCCGTTGGCACCACTGCCTGAGCGACCAGTAAACGGCACCCTCCGTTGTCCCGCCTCATAATACCGCATCAAGTCAATTTCGTGCGCCGTCCGCATGTGCTTGTTAAGGGCATCCTGTCTCGCAAAGGCTAGGTCACATTCTGTGGAGGGTTAGAGGAGGACGAATCAACGTGTGTGGGAAACAGTGGAAATGGCCTACCTGGAAGGAGACAGACGTGCGGCTTCTCACGCGTGTGGCTACGCAGATGTGCCTTGAGCGCGTACGCACTGGCGTGTGACTTTCCTTTGCGCGGACATCCGATCCACTCGCACGTGTATCGTCGCTGCTTGCCCTCGACATGTTCGGCGTGCAAGTGCTCGACCAGCTTGTCCATATTGCCCAAGTCGCCCGTCTCGCAGCCGTCCCATGCGCACACGGTCACCTGCGGCTCGTTCATGGCATTGAGTCCGGCTGCGGGATCCTCGTCTACAGCACCGCGTCGGAGGCCAAAGGATGAGGAAGTATGTGTTGATGGTTGGGCAATCTTTTTTGGCGGCGGCACGTCGCCGTCGGTGTCCTCGGACACGTCCGACATGGTGTCGAGAAGGTCGTCGATGGCGCCGTTGCGCCCATGGTGTGCGGTATTCGCACCCGCAGCGTTGCCATTGGCCGTGGTGCCGTTTGCTTTTCTGGCGATGCTGCTGCTCACGTTATCGTTGGATGTGTGCAGCACGGTCGCGTCTGGATCAGCCGCATCGGCCGCCTCCACTTCAGCGTCCACCTCAACGTCTGCACCCGCTTCTTCTGTCGCCGGGTCCGCATCTGCGTCGGCCTCTACCTCGGCCTCTACCTCGTCACCGGCCTCTTGTTCAATCTCGATAGTGTCGTCATCGCCGTTCGCGTCGGGCAACGCGCTCGATCGCGACGACTTTCGCCGGATGGAGCGGGATTCCTTCCTGCTCTTTACAGTATCGGCCGGCTCGTCCTTCATTTCCTCGTCATCGGGCTCAGCGTCGGCTGCATCACGGGCGGCTGATGCGCTACCCGGTGATGTCGGCACGGCGGCTCCGTTTGCTGCCTTGAGGCGCTTGGGCGGTTTGGAAACGATGTCGGTCGCGCTGTCGTCCTCGTCGTGCATGGGTGACTCGCCCGATGGCGACGACCTGCGTGATGAGTGACGTTTGCCCATTGTCAATGGGATGTGTGAGACTGGATGTGAAGGGAGGAAAAAGGAGACAAAGTCGATCAAAGTTACAGGCAGTTGTCGGTCATTAATAGAGAGGTTGTCGAAGTGATGTTGGAAATAGCGAGAAATAGATCATGAGGTTTTGGATGTCGCGATCGCATTAACGCCTCATCCGTCGCGTTGTGTGAATGCAGTTCGTCAATATGTGGGATAAGTTTAGAAATGGAAAATGAAAATGAAAGGTATGAGAATTTAGCAATGTCCTTTAGGAGGCTGATTGCGGCCTGTTGGCTGCGATGGTAGTCTCAAAATTGAGAAAGGGCGCAAAGGAGCAGGGCGATTGGGAGCTTTTTGGCGCCATCAGCCCGTCACAATGCGAGCTTGTACACCTTCCTGCACGAGAAGGCGCCGCTTCGACCAGATTGAGCATTACCCATGTTCATCCGCCAGGGATATGGGATTAGTCAGAATCTAGACGTGTAAAGGAGCTGCCAGCTGGTGCCAGCTGCACATGGACTATACAAAAAATGAGGAAACCAGTGGGCGGTATCACTCCGTAATTACAGGGGCGCCACAGGGGGTGACCGCTGACGTCCAGGTCGTGCCCCTCCCCCACACCGCCGTGCATTGAGGCCTAGCGAGCCAGCGAAGCTTCCTAGCAACGAGAGGGGCCTGGCCCAAAAAACTTTTTGAGTAAACACAGCAAATAAATACGGCCAGGCACATTTCCCCTTGGAGCCCAGTCTGCCTCCATAGCCCTGCATTTTTGACTCTCTGTTTCTTTCATATTTCAAATCAAAGACGGAACGACGTGCACATAGAGAACAATAGACTTCCAAAGCACTTATTTTACGAGAGACTCGACACATCCTGTCCCTCCCCTTTGCCACTCGCAACGAACAACACCCACATCAACATCTACAACGATGGCGTCCAAGATCTTTTCCCTCGAAGGCAAGGGCCTAAAGCTAGACACGGCAGCCGACATCGAGCCGCACATTGCGCCGTTGCGGGCAATGGACGATGTCGAGGAGGTGCGGCTGCTGGGGAACACGCTGGGCGTGGGTGCTTGCCAGCTGCTGGGCGAGGTGCTGGCGACCAAGAAGACGCTGACCACGGCGAATCTGGCGGACATTTTCACGGGCCGGCTGCTCAACGAGATCCCGGAGGCGCTGTCGTCACTGCTGACGGCACTGCTCAACCTGCCGAAGCTGGGCACGATCAACCTTAACGACAACGCCTTTGGCCTCAACACGCAGGCGCCGCTGGTGGCGTTCCTGGCGTCGCACGTGCCGCTGCAGCACCTGTACCTCAACAACAACGGCCTGGGCCCGCACGCGGGCATCCTGATTGCCGATGCTCTGAGTGCGCTGCACGCCAAGAAGGAGGAGGCACGCAAGGCGGAACCCAAGACAGAGGTGCCGGACCTGGAGACGGTCATTTGCGGCCGCAACCGGCTGGAGAACGGCAGCATGACGGCGTGGGCCAAGGCGTTCCAGCTGCACAGCAAAGTCAAGACGGTCAAGATGGTGCAGAACGGCATCCGCCAGGAGGGCATCAGCCACCTGCTGAGCGTGGGCCTGCATCACGCGACGACCATCCGCGTGCTGGACCTGCAGGACAACACGTTTACGCTGATGGGCGCCAAGGCTCTGGCAGGCGTGGTGCCCCGGTGGACGGAGATTGAGGAGCTGGGCATTGGCGACTCTCTCCTGAGCGCCAAGGGCGGCGTGCTGCTGGCGGGCGCGCTCAACAAGGGCCAGAACAAGAAGCTGCAGATCCTGCGGTTGCAGTACAATGACATCACGGCAGCCGGGCTCAAGGCACTGTCGGATGCGGCCGGCAGCGGCGCGCTGCCGGTGCTGCAGAAGCTCGAGGTCAACGGAAACAAGTTCTCCGAGGATGACGAGGCAGTGGTCGTGCTGCAGGAGCTGTTTGAGGAGCGCAAGGAGAAGCTTGGCGGCGACGTGGTGGACGAGGACGCATGGGGCCTGGACAGCCTGAGCGACCTGGAGGAATTGGACTCGGACGAAGAGGAGGAGGAGGAGGAGGAGGAGGAAGAAGAGGAGGAGGCCAAGGGCACGACGGCCGAGGAGCGCGCCGAGAAGCTGATCAAGGAGGCGGAAGAGGCGCAAGAGGAGCCTGTGGTACAGGTCAAGGACAAGGATGTGGACGAGCTTGCCGACAAGCTGCAGAAGACGGACATTTAAAGGCTCCTGGTGGTCCTCACCCACATCTCATCCACGTCCCGCTCCCTGCCCTTGACACCTCACCAAGCCTCCCGAAGCATCACTCCCGCCTGTACATATTCCTCTTCCAGCCCTTCTTGCATTCCCGGTCATTTCCCTTGTCTTGCTAGATTTCCCTTGTCTTGCTAGATTTCCCTTGTTTGTCGTTCGCGTCCCTCTATGCCCCTTGCCATACCCCATCCCCTTGCATTTATTCACAGCACGTAATACAATGAATACAGAAAGACCGTTGAATTTATATATTTATATATTTCTATATTACTATGTCTACAATCACATGCCATGCACGCATCAGACAAGGGCCCTTCCACTCGCTGGCAGAGCAAAGATAGTGCTAAGACGAGACAACGGCAGCCGGCTTCCAGCGGCTTCTAGGAACCAACCCGGCTCGCCACCGCTGGTAAGTCATGTGGCCCCTGGTAACGTTCTTTGTGAAGTATTACTTGTTCCCCGTCGGACAGCTGCGATGGGTGTCACTGGTTTCGTGTGCGGCAGACGTGGCCTGTTGTTTTTGGTCTCAGAGTAGCCCGTATTGGGTGCTGTCACGCCACTCTGCACCACTGAAAATATAGTGCGATGCGGCTGCCTGTAGCGCGTCCGTCGGCTTTGGCACTAACAGGCTCAGGTCTTTCCCTTTTGGGGCCATGAATCAGATCTAACCACATCACGGACGCAATACACACACAGCCAAAGCCGATGACGCTGACTGTCGGACAACTACCCACCACTACCTTTTTTCTTTTCATCCCGCCAGAGATCGCCAGACAGCCTGCCTCGCTTGCTCCTCGGGCGATGGCTCTTTTTCAGAGTGATGTTTCCTGCTAACTGCTCGGGAAGCAAGAACAGTGGTGGCCTTATTTAACTAACAGGTGATCCTCGAAGCTCATCCCTTTGTGACATCCTTTTGTCTTTCAAAACAACAAAGCAATCAACGTTTCGCCGTTGCAGCTGTCTACTGTGCAGAGCGCCTCTGCAACCTCAATCGAACCAACTCTCATTCTTCCTCCTCCCCCAACCACCTATTTAGCATCCATCTAGCAAAAACCGCCACAATGCCCACCTCCGGCCTTTTCGGGTCGACCGAGGCCGTCATCGATTTTCTCTGGGACATTACTTTTCTCTTCTTCGTCATCCGCCTTTCGTTTGTCTATGCCGTGCTCTCGGCCGCCGCATCGGCCGCTGTGGCCTGCCTCGCCCATGCGGCCATTCTGCCGTTCGTTGCGGCCCGCCAGAACGTCGGGGTTGGTGCCCTCGTCCACAAGGTCTTGGGCACGTCATCGACGACCAAAACTGCCCTTGTGGTCCTTGTTTCGGCCGTCCTATTTTCCGTCGTCGGCCTCTGTGGCCGCTTCATGATGGGCTACGCCAAGATTCCCCAGCTGCGCGGCTTCCGCATCCCCATTGGTGTCGCGGCCGCAGTCTATGTTGGCCTCGGCTGGCTCGCAGCGTCCGAGTTTGTGCCGGCATGCCGCGGAAAGACGGCGACCACCACTCCCAAAGGCCATGGCGTGGTCCCCGCCGACAACGCCCTGACTCTCGCGTCGTTCTGCCAATCGACCCGCCTGCGGGTCGGCGGCATTGCCTCCAACACCAGTGTCAGCGCATGCACCATTGTCGGTCTTGTCTTTGTCGCCGCCGTCGCGCTCGTGCCGTGGCTGTCCATGGTCCTGTTGGAACGGCCGAACCGCCGCTACGGCCGCCACCGTCGTACCTCGTCCAACATTGGCTGGCTGCGTGCCATGAGTCCCTCGCCATCTGCGATTCCCGTCAACGAGAAGAGTCTGTCGTCACCACCCGAGCCGTCGACGTCAACAGACGATTCTGAAGACCCGGCATCTCCAAAGAAAACGAGTACCACGAGGGTGACACGGACTCCGAAGAAGCGGTACTCGCTTAGAAACACCACAACCCGGCGGACAACGTGATCGCGAGAGCTGTCCGTTGAGCAAGAGTAAAGCTATAGAAAGGGACATTGCGACTTGCGTACGATACAACGATACGGTGTTTAGTTTTATGGATTTGGGTATATTAAAAAGATTATTTTACGATTTTTATCCACTTTTGTGTTATACGTTGAAAATCAACACAAGCGAGACTATTCTATGCAATAATTCATCTTTCTGACCAGTACATCATGCATTATAATAGATTAAAACGAAAACAATGAAAATAAAAGTCATCCAAAACCCCGGCTCCTCATACACAAATACGCATTATTTAACAGCATAAAGAAATAGCCAACACCGCCTTGTGCCATCTTCCATTGCCATGCTCAACTCGTTCCCACCATCACTTATTTCCACGAGTTAAGCCCTGCCCACGGGTCGGCTGGAGCTTGCTGAGGCGGTGGCGCTTGCTGCTGGAATGACTGCTGGTATTGCTGCTGTTGCGGTGGCGGCTGTTGTTGTTGCTGCTGCGAATAGTAGTCGGTCGGCTTGACGTGATATGTCTGCTGCGGGCCCAATGGTGGCGGTGCACGGGGCGGCGGCGGTGGCACGAAACCAGCTGGCACAAAGCTGGACGGCGTGCTCGAGTGTGTTGTCGGCGGCTGGCTGGCTTGCTGATTGCCGTACGTGCTATACTGGTGGCTGCCGGGCTGCCCAAACGCCGTTTGTGTCGGTGGCGGCGACGCTGGCCCCCGCATCGCGTTCATGTTGAAGCTGGTCATCGTCGGCGGAGGCGACGCGGGGCCGGGAATTCGGCCGAGTGCGCTCGGGTTGTACGTCGCAGCCTGTTGGCCGAACTGGCTGGCGTATGGGGATGGCATGGAAGTCTGGTTAGGGGGCGGTGAGTTTGGAACTTGGTACTGCCCCGTGAAGTTCGTCGCCGGGTACCGTGGCGCGTTGTTGTTAGACAAGTACAGTGGCATGGGCGTCGGCCGCCCAGACAGACCGCCCGAAGACGACGGTAGTGGCGGTGTCGATGATGCGCCATTCGCGGGTGGCTGAGGCTGCGACGAGGGTGTGGTGTCCACGGACATGCGCTCCATGAGCCCCCGTAGGCGTTCCCGCTCCAGCTCGGCCTGCTGGCCCTTGTTGGCAGAGCGGTCCTGCTCGATTTGGTTGAGAAGCTGTGCGCCCTCGGACCGACGGTTGTTCACAAACGTCTCCACGTTCTTCTCGAGGCTGTCAACAGTCTCCTTCATGTCCGCATACCACCGCTTGGCACCGTTCAAGCCCGCCTCCAAATCGAGGAACTCTTGGTAGGCCCGCTTGTATTTGTTCACCACGGAAGCGCGCTGCCGCTGGACCGACTCATACTTGCTCTGCTCCGAGCGGACGCGCTTGTCCTGCAGGAGCGTGTTGAATGCGGCCGTCAGCTCCTTCATGAGCGCTGCCTGCTTGTGGTTGGCCTGGACAAGTCGGTTTTGGTGTGTGCGGAACTTCTCCAGCTCCGACTTGAACAGTTGCGTCTCGTAGTTTGCAATTGACTTTTTGTTCAGAATCAATATCTGCGAGATATCGTCGTCGTGAATCTGCTTTGTTAGTGCACGCCCGCATATGGATACCACGTAGCCATTGAGAGAAGAAACACTCGGGCTTACCTTGTCTTTGAGGTCTTTCAGCACCTGGTTGCGTTCCCGCTTGACAAGATTCAACTTTGACAGGATCTCATCCACTGTATTGATCTGATCTGGTACGCTGGGGTGACTGTCCTCAAAGTCGGTGTCTAGCAGATTGCCTTCGCTGGGGCTCGTCGTCTGGCTGCCAGACTTGCCCCGTACCTTGGCCAAGGCTCTTTGGAACAGCGCGTCGACCTCGCCATGCTGGGCCGCTGTCCGCATCTCGTCGAATTCAGCACTGTTTTGGCGCAGCTTCGAGGCCAAAAGCCCGTCACTGGTCGCCGCCTCGTCCAGCGCGTCTCGGTAGTTTTTAATGTCCCCACGAAGTGTTGTCGTGAGCCGCGAGCTGGGCTGCTGGGTCCACTCGCTTTCGTACTTAGAGCGCATCTTCTCACAGACACTCTCCTCCATGTCGAGCTGCTTTGCATTTTTGTCCAGGGTGGCAATGATTGCCTCCCGCTGATGACGCAGGGGCTCGAAAATGGCCTCGGGGCTTTCGTGGTCGGCCACGTCAACACACCAGGTACGGAAATCTTCGTCAGGGAGCACCTCTTGGTCAAATCCACCTTTGAGAACCTGGAGGGCGCCTGGAAGGCGAAGATAGTCAAGGCTGGCAGCCATCTCGCTGTTCGCAGTATCGACCCGTTCGGTTTCCGCGCGGAGGATTTTGGCCTTTTCTTCATCGTACAAACTTGCCGACTCGGTCACGGAAAGTGGGATGATCTTGGCAAAAAGGTCAGGTCCAGTGATGCGCTGAATGTCCTGGCCTGCGTACAGCTCGCTAACAGGTATTGGCTTGCAAGCAGGAAGCTTGGAAACGGGCGGGAGACTGGCTGCGTCGGGAACCGAGTCGTGGTAGATGAAGTCGTTGTCCTTGTTGAAGCCGCGCAGCTTCTCTTGGACCGTGGACAGATGCCGTTTGGTGATGTCGACGAGCAGTGTGCTGGTGTCGGCCCCCAAATTTGCGCTTGAAGGCAAAGAACTAGGGAAGCTGGTCGCCAGCTTGGCTGCCTCCTTCCCGAGGGTCTCGGCGACTTGCAGCCGCGATACTGCGAGACCATGGTTGTTTGCATCATCATCGGCGAGGCCCTGGAAGTACTGTGCCATTGAGCCCATGAGGCTCGCCTTGATCTATAGGGGAAGAATGGTTAGCCTCGATTTTGCACCAACCGTAGGAGAATCGGCTCACGCAAAACATACCTGGACAAAATAGAGCCAGACTTTTTCGAAAATGGCTCTGTCGACGTTGGCTTGGACACCCTCGGCTGCTTGGGCATACAATGAGCTGGCATGGCTCGCGAGCTTCGCCAGCAGACCGACCTTTTTCTGGTCGGCAATCTGCTTCTCTAGGAAGACCTCCTGGGCTTGGGCAAGGGTAATCGAGATGAGCGTCTTAACGGTCTCCCGACTCAGATCAGCCGACGGAGCATGGAGAAAGTTTTCATTGATATAGGTGAACATTCCAGCAGAGGCCTGAAAAGAGTGGTAGGCAGTCTTGAGACCAGACTCGTCGGAGCGGTTCTGGAGGGCGGCATTGCAGGACAGAACAGCGGAGATGTTGAAAATGATAGATGCCTTCTCGAATGCAAGCGAGAACTGCGACGTCGCCTTGTGTGTAAACGCATCAAACCTATAAGTTGGCGGGAGATGTCAATATGATGGCGATCTTTGGCGTACCGCGAGCTGGATCGGCCACTGTTCAATACGTACCATGTGAATGAGATCCGGATATGCTGTTCGTCAACAGGAAACCGAAGGTCAAGAAGCTCCAACTGCCCATAGTACCGGTAGAGCAAATCGCGCCCGGAGCTGCTATCCTTACCAGCACCGCGCATGTCCTGGCGCAAACGGTTTAGAGTCGCACATTCTTCGGCATACCGTTCCGGGTCGTCGCCATATGTGTCACGGATGTAGTTTTTGAGCGGCACAATCCAGTCGATCTCGTTAGTAGCCTTGAGCGGCACCGAGATCATAGGGGCTTGAACCATTGTGACGGTCGCAAGAGAGCGCTTGCTCGGGGGCTATGGTATAGTTCAACAGCTCTTCTTCCTGATAGACGCTCGTAACAGAGGAACCAGGAGTGAGCCGCCGCGAAAGATTCGGCCCGGAAGGCGGTGCAACTGTCGTGTTGCTGTCACGCCTAACGTCCGAGTCCGGAAGGGACGGGTAGTGGTATTGATTCTCCGAAGGCCGGTATATCGAAACAGTGTTATGGAGCAGGTAGCAGATGCGTGATCGGCGGAGGTCGTAGCGAAACGTTGTCTTGCTGTATATCTGTCGTATGCTGTCGGGATGTCGGATTCGAAATGCGGAACTGTAGAAAGCCCCTCTTGCTGACGTCGCTAACCGTTTAGAAAACAAAAGGACCGGCTGTATGTCGGTAACGGGAGCGATGTGAGGGTTGAGCAATGCTCGTTCTGCGAAGAATACCGTGGACAGAATAAAAAAGAACGGCCAGAACGAACCCGTGTTTGTCGAGAGCTGGCACAATGAGGTGACGAAGAGGTGGGAAATGCCTAGAACGTCACTGGGCGGTGTCGGCGGGAGCTGTGCTGGCAATATTGGGCGCAAATGGCACAGGGCGGCAAGGTTCGGTCGTATGCGGCACTGTCGATAGGGACGCACGGCAAAGTGGAAGCTGGATCGACAAATATCACAAAATGGAGAATAACAAGAGACAAGAGATAGTGATGTTTTGAGGTTATTCAGGACAAGAGATGGGCAGTTGTGAATGATGGGCAATGGTTAATTAGCCGCCCAGGAATAATGGCTGTGAGGAGGTGTTGGTGGTGCCTTCCCAAATCCAGGCCGTTGGCTGGCCTTTAGGTGCCAGAGCATAGGCGCAAAGGAGGGGGAGGGGCGAACAGATAGGGGATGCCGGGATTGAATGGGGAAAGTGGGCTGCTTGGTTTCGGTGGATGGGGCCTGAGTCTGCCCGAAGGTCTCGCTCCGAGGAGGGAAAGTGTGCCACAGGCGGGTGCGTACTGCATTCGTCAGATACCTGGTTGCGACTCCCTCTTGTATTCCACGCTTTGTGCGCCGTGTTAGTGCCGCTCGACGACTCAGTTTCAACAGGCAGGAGCGGCCGTCTAGCGACCGAACGCTCTTAGCTTCTGAGCTTGCCGCTGGCGAGTTGGGATTGTATCCTAAAGTGCATCATGTCTGCTTAAGCACGATGCGACGGCGTGACGACGGGCAGCATCTCGCCGGACGACGACATATTCGATACTTTGAGGCATGTGGGGCTTTGGCTGCTCGTGTCTACGGTTAACAGCGATGGCATGTATCATGCACGAGCGCAATACCGCGTCGAATTGGCGATCCAGGACCTTGGGCTCTCGAAAAACACGCTTCATGGCACACTTCAGATCACTGCGGTAAAGAAAAGCTGCGAGGCAACCACGTCTCTTTGGCTAGAGCCGTTGACATTGTCTACGTCAGATGCCGCATACCAACCAGCTAGCCTGACCAGCACACCAGGGTGGGCTGCAGCCGTCCATGGCACGGGAGTTGGGAGGCTAAGGCGGCCGTTTCTGCGACCCGCGATCTCGAGCAGCGGCCGGGAAGCACCCGCCAAATCCAACTGTAGATGACGGAAGGCAGCGACGACAAACGCAAAGGTAAAAGGTATTATGCTTTGGGTCCGCTCGAATCTGGAGGATTCCGGTGATGAGCGGGGGGGAGGAGGAACATCTCTCCGCTCCGTTCTCTGGTCTTGTTTACGGTAAAGAGTCGTGCCAGATGAATGTCACATCACGACACGGACCCACGTCTGTCGTCTGTCTGTGACGAGACATCAGTCAATTTGCAAAGCCCCAAATTCACCAACGAGAACGCCGGGGCTACTGAAAGCTTATGCAGGTGACGGCCATTCAAAGCACTCTTCTTGGCCGTTAAGCGCCCCTGATTGGACACGCGCAAAGCAACCCTGGCCCCCAAGACCCTTCCCGAAGCGACGTGCGGGCGCCATAAGCGCCGGACGATCATCTTACTTGGACCAAGTGTTGGGGGCCAAACTGTGCTTTTCACCATAGTCGAGAGTTCTTTTCCCCTAGTATTCTTTCTGCCAATGTCTGTTGTACAAAGTCATTACATGATTTGAGGTTACGCTACATACTTGACACATCTCCAGCCGGAGTTGATTTTTGGTGTGCAATATTGAGCGGTCTGTGTCCTAGATCGGCGTTCGAAAATGACACCGCCACAAAGGAGCCCATTGTGAACTTGTGTCCGCCATATTTTTGATACTCATACCACATGTCATGAAGGGGACGCAAATAAATATAAATTGAAACTGCTGGCACAATGTAAAACTTCAAAAGAAATAAATACATAAATAACCCGGTGAAAACCAAGACCAACTCAATCCACTTATCTTTAGGGCCACACCTATTACCGGCCCTTTTCGATGCGCTCGAGTCTGTACCGATTGGCTCGCACCTGGTCGTCGACAGTGTCGCTCTGTAGCACTGTGTTAGCTGACTGAAAGCAATGTGCCGCAGAGAACAGCAATGGTGAGATGACATACCTTGGCAGCAATTCTGTCAATATGATCCAGATCCTCCGTGGCAAACTGGTTCATGGCCTTCGCCGTCATGTTCAGCGTGCCAACAGCGCCTGACAGCAGGTCCATCTTCTGATTGATGGCCTGCTCTTTCTGGATGTCCTCTTCGTCGTCGTCCTCGAGGTTGAACTTGCTCGAAATGCCCGACTTCGTTTGGCCAAGCCGGCGGTTCTGCTCTGTCGTCCGCTCCACCTGCTCAAAGTTTTGCTCGGCATTGCGGTTGCTGAGGTAGGCCAAGCGGCGCGTCTCCTCGCGCTGCTCCCGCTCGCTGCGGTGCTCGTCAATGGCCGCTTGCGCCTGCTGTGCCGCGCGCTGCTTGGACGTGAAGGGGTTGTTGACCTTGACGGCAAACATGCTGCGGTTGTAGTGCTTCAGCTCCGCTGCGCGGTGCTCGGCAATCTTGTTGTGGTTGGCCGCCTCGTCGAGGTTGTTCTCCACATTCAGCAGCCGCTCGCGCTGGTTGTACATGCGCGCCATTGTTCCCCGTGCCGTCTCAATACTCTGGTTGGCAATCATGAGCGACCGGTCGAGACTCTGGTCCGTCTCGTTTCGCAGGTACCGCGTCTCCTGGTTCATGCGCTTGACATCTTCGTCCTCCTGCTCCTCGGCCGTCAGCTCGCGTTCTGCGCCGTAGCCGCCACTTTCCTCGCCGCCACCAGCGCCGTAGCCGCCGCCATTGTCAGCGGGGTTCGGGTACTTGCTAGAGGCTTCCTGGCGGCGCTCGGCATATTTTTGTGGTGCGTCGCCAAAAAGAGCCTGGCGGTTCGAGTCGTCAGCCTCGTCGTCGGCGCCACCCATGCCGCCGTAGCCACCTCGTCGGGCACTGAGTCGGGCAGCACCACCACCACCGTAACCGCCAGCACCTCCAGATCCTGGGCCATCGCTGTCAGCTGTGCTTCTATATGTTGGGGGCCGTCCAAGAGGGGGGCCGCCTCCATAGGACGAGTCGTTGTCGTATTTGTTGCTGCCATAACCACCCGATGCACCATAGCCGCCGGCGCTGTAGCCGTTGCTCTGCTGGCTAGGCGCGTTGTTCGGCGGAGGACCACCATACGATGCCGGGCCATTGGCCGGTGGGCCGCCGTAGCCTGCAGCCGAAGCGTAGGGGTTGGCGTTGGGGCTCGGGCCGCCACGAGGTGGCGGCGGGCCAGCATTTGATCTGGGACCAGGCCCGCTCGGCAGGCCACCACGTCCACCCCGGACTGGCAGGCCCATGCTTGCCTGCTGGCGTTGCAGAGATGACATTGGTGCGGCGTAAGGGTCAGCCTGTTGAGACTGCTGTGCGTACGGATTGTCGTCCTGCGTGTTGTTGCTGCCCTTCTTCCTGCTGAACAGACTAGCCTTCTTACTGTCCTCGTCGTCTTTGGAAAACCCAAACCGAGGCATCGTGACGAGAGTGGAGGGGCTCTGCCGAGAGGATGTCGATGCTTTATAGAGAAATTGTGTTCCGCTCGTCCAGAAAAATCTCCGGGAGAATAATGCGATTGAGCGCTGTTGTGTGAGAGATGCGGGACGCAATGCAGGCGGGAGAGTCGCAAAGCCGTGTCGATGAGGAGGAAGAAAGACGGTGGATGGAGAATAGCAATGTGTCTGACCTACGTTTCGCCACAGAAAAGGGTTTCGAAAGGGGACGGCCCAACAGTCGATGAGGCACCTAAGGGGAGGCAGAGCAAGCGCTTTTAGGGGTATTGCTTTAAGGGTATTCTGGCTCCTCCCCACTCCGATTAGGCGGTGTCGATTTCACTGTGCAGCTCAGCCCCCGCACCACGTTCCAAAAACAAGCAATGCCCAACGGCACTAGTTATAAAAATAGGAAGTAGGCCGCTAAACTTTTGCCCCAGGCGCATTCTGTTACTGGACATAAGTCCGTCATTACCTCGTCTGTGGCGATGTTGAATCGCAGCTGCCTGCCTCGCTTGCTGTTGGGCCATCGTCAGCTGATCGTCGTTTCGTAGTTTGGGGAGAATTCAGTACGAGGGACGTAGAATGCTTCAAATTTCGACTTTCAAAGTCTGGATTGGAAGGGGGGGCCCGATGACACTGGTCGGTTACCCACAACGAGCAGGGACCAAGCACACTTTGCGGCCAAACTTTGTTCAAAGGGGACATCGCTTTGGGGACTTCAGACCGTGCGCTGGAGAAGTGGTGACTCCCGAGGCTGCCAGGGCGACCCAGGACGCTGGTTGGCCTCGTTCGTTGTTTCCTTGCGTCGTCGATGCGTGTTGCTTCTCTTCGTAGCCGCGTAGAAAGAATCGGGAAGGAGTCACGCACCATTGCGATGATTGTGGCTTCCCTATTGGGGAGTCGTCCAATGTGGAGGGGCATCATGCGCCAACCATTCTACGCCGTGGGCCGTTCTGACACTAAAGTCTGGCTTCAATTGCTCACAACATCCTGTTCTTCCTTTTCTCTCTACCTGTCCACCACCCATTCCCTGTCAAAGCCTCGCTTTCAAAGTCATCTTGCAATGTTCGCCCATTGTTTGAGCAGTGCGTGAACCAGGAAACAGTTCTACTTTTTTATATACATCCGCCCACAGACCTCTGTCGAGCGCAGCCTGTGTCTTGACCACTCCAGCCTCGCCGACATTCTCAAGCCAAAATGCTGCCTCAAATACCTCACACTGTCCAGCTCTCAGTCTCTTTGCTTTCTTTGCAGCATCACGTATTATTACCATTACGAAACTAAGCACAAAGCACTTCTCTTCCCCCATCATTATTAGGCGAGCGCACGTCACCGTTTTTGGCCAACTGTGAAACGGAAGGCAGATGTCTGTCTTTACGTACGACCCGAACCCGCCTCGGGTATCGTCCCCATGGCTCCAAGCCGCCAATGTGGACGTGCCGAGCTCCTCGAGCCGTGGTCACCTGGCCGGGCATGACGAGACCCCGGGCGATGGCCCTGTCGCACACAGCTTGCTCTCTGAATATGGGGTAACAAGACTACCTCCTGAGCCGCAAGAAGGGCCGGTCGAGTACAAGCTGCACCTGCTGCTGCGTCCGCGGCGGTCATACAAGTTTATCCCCCCGACCGCTTCTGCCGGCTCGCCGAAAGTCACTGCCGACCCCAAGTTTCTTCAAAAACGTCGCGTGGTTGGGTCGGCGACGACAGGGCAGACTCGGCAAAGTCGTTGCGAGCATCTAATGACACAGCTCCTTTGGCGACTACGCCAGTCCTCGCCGTACCACGCATCTGTTGCGCAGCAGGACCCTGCTTTGCCGCTTCTACCGGAGGACTCGGCCATTGCGGAGATGCCTGTCACGCTTGGGAAGTTGGCGCCCGGCCTGGAGGAGTCTAGAGGTGCTCTTTACGAAATTGGTGTGGCCGACGATGGTGCGCTTGTGGGCATTACAAAAGACGAGCTGGACCAGAGTATTGCCACTTTGCGCTGGATGGCAGCACACCTTGGTTGCGTTTCGAAGATCCTTCGCATTGTCGAAGTCGGCCAGTGCGAGTGGACCGAGGAGACGAAACCATCCGGAAATGGCACCGTAACTCTCCGTGATCGTCTGTGGGTTGCGGAGGTGTTTGTCCAGCCACACATGAATTCGCAGGGAAACGGCAGTAATGGGGCTGAGGCAGGAACTATGTCAACGGCTTATGGCGGCAGAGTGAACGATTTGTCCACTACCCTGGGGTCCACGACGGCCGACCAATTGCGGGTGACCTTGACCGGCCCGACAGGGTCTGGAAAATCCACGCTGCTCGGCACGCTCTCGACGGGAGCGCTCGACGACGGGCACGGCAAAAGTCGCTTGAATTCGCTCAAGCACCGCCATGAAATGGCCTCCGGCCTCACCAGCACTGTCACTCAAGAGCTCGTTGGCTACAGCGACGAAGTCATAGTCAACTATTCCAACACCAACATCGAGTCTTGGATTGGCATTCACGACTACACCAAGAACGGCCGTCTCGTTTTCATATCCGACTCGGCCGGCCACCCCCGCTTTCGTAGAACGACGCTTCGTGGACTCATTGGGTGGTCACCGCACTGGACTCTTCTTTGCCTCAGTACGAACCCCGATGATGCTGATAGCGGTACTTCTGGTGACTATGATACGGGGAGTGGCACATCAACACCACTGGAATCGGGTTCTGGAACGAACAGCGCCGCCCTAGCCAAAGCTCACCTCGACTTTTGTGTTAAACTTGGCCTGCCATTAGCCATCGTTTTGACAAAATCGGACCTGCTGAACAAGGAGTCGCTGAAGCGCACGCTGGCTCCTATCTGGACTGCTATCAAAACCGCGGGTCGCTTGCCGCAGCTGTTACAGTCGAAGCAAAAGGCGACTGAAAACACGCGCTCCGTTTCCCCGATCGATGCCGCAGCCATCGAGCGTGTTCTGACTCCCATGCGCGAGTCACAGGACTTCCGTGCGGTGGTTCCCGTGATTTTGACGAGCTGTGTCAATGGAGATGGCATTGGGCTGATCCATGCCCTCCTTAAGTCGTTGCCGCTACCTCCTAAACCAACGTCACACGACTACATTGGCAAGGCACTCAACCCTGAGCAACCTGAAGCGCTCTTCCATATTGAGGACCGCTTCAAGAGCCCTGTGTCTTATGCTACCGCCAGCCTTGCAGAGTCAGCCGATTCGGGCCACGTACTTTCCGGATATCTCCGCTTCGGCAAGTTATCCGTTGGCGACCCTGTGGTAATCGGGCCCTTCCCATCCGACGAGGATGGAACAGGATCTGGTCTGGATGATGACAGGACTGCGTCCCCGAGCCACAACAGCCTGTCATCCTCACACCCGTCGTCGTCTGAACTGGCGCGTATCGCCGCCCGCAATGCAATTTCGGCGTCGGCTCTGAAGGGGGAGTGGCATGAAGCCCGCATAGAGACGATTCGCAACCTCCGCCTCCCTGTCCAGACTCTGGATGCCGATCAAGTCGGCACCATTGGCCTGGTCATACTTCCGCCGACCCAAACCAAACATGGTAGCCTTGCTGACGGCAGTGACGAAGTACATTTGTCCACTGCTGCCCTCAAACCACGGCGTGGTATGGTTGTTGCGGTGCCCAGCAAGCACATGCTGAAGAGTGGACTTCAGCTCCAAGCAGCCAGTGGACTCACAGCCTTTTTTGAGGACGTCCATATTGGCCGTCTGAGTATTGGCACACCGGTCACATTTTATGTGGCAAGTGTACGGGCCCAGGGTCGTGTGGCCAAGGTCTGGAGCTCCACACCCGTCGATGACTTTGGAAAAATGGAGGCGACCGATGATGGTGTCTTTGATTCGTTTGAGCACGCCGAGGAGGACGAGAAATGGGGCGGCCCGGCCGCCCCACCGAATCATGGCTACAGCGTCCGCCTTGAGCTGCTGTATGGACGAGAATGGATCGAGCTCGGGTCCCAGGTTGTTATTCTCGAAGGTGCCAGCAAAGAAGGATCCGTGCTGGATGGCTTTGTTGGAAAAGTAGTCGAAATTATGGATTGAGCGGACATGTGTTGAGTGGTTCACATACTTTTGACTTTTCGTTTGTTTGTTGTCCGTTGTTTTTGGCATCTTCCCTTTTGAACAGTTTGTTTCCGCATTGCTTTGCGAACTTCTTCCGTAGCCTACTTATCATCGATTTTTGCATATATACTCTTGACTAAGGTAGCAAATATTGCATCTCAAAATATGACGCCCCAATTTAAGCAGGAGATATAATATCACATGTGTATCAATAGTACTTTCGCATTTGTGTCCTATGAAAACAATGTCATCCGAAATTTAACGCCGTACCAAATGATCGCTCTCTCGTATCTGGCCTTCACCGGCCCTCCTTCCCTTCCTTCCAGCTGTTGTCGGTTATGCTCTGACGAGGCCAAAAAACAGCGTCCACGTCAAGATATAACCCGCCAGTCCATTCACTAGTCCGCCCGTCCAGAACTCGAACGGCCCCCGGAAAAATGCACTCGTGTCGAGGGTGTTGACAGGCTTGCCTGCCCTTCGCAGCTCCAGCGATGCCGACATGACGCGGAAAACGAAGAAGAAGGCAGTCGTGATAAGCGAAAAGACAATGTAGAAGAGAAAGCCGTTGTAGGACTCGAGGCCGAGGATGCCCGCGCCGACACCGAAGAGCGAGGCCGTCAGAGACTGGACATTGATAAGGGTCTGTGTGCAGTTAGTGCCGAGTGCCCATTTTCAGGCTCGTTTTCGCGTCTACTTTCCTCGTCGTTGCTTACCCGAGAATTGTGCAAAATCGACTCTTGGACCAGAGGCTGGATCTGGAAATCGCGTTCGGTCGGCATCGTGAGATGTGTTGTGCGATGCAGCTGTGTGTTGTGGGGTTTGGTTTGGGGGATTGGGCGTGCGGCTTGGATGCCTTGTCGTTGTGTTTCTCGATGCCCCCTTTCGTGGATCTGAACAGGCCACATAGACGTCCTCTGAGCTTCTGCCAGTTTGCGCTGATCTCCGATTGGCCAGATCTGAAGCCCGCCTTTTAATGCCCGATTCAGGACTAGCGTTCTTTCCTCTTGGAGTTTTGTTTCAATCGCTCGAAAATGCCAACAGGGGCGCTTGCCGGTTCATTCTAGCACTTCAGGAGGCAGGCACGGCGTCCAATTTGACGGGACTTGCGCTGATGAAAGAAAGCATATGGCAGAACTATTCTAATGCTGGGGTGTGACGTTCTCGGCGACAGCGTGCGCAGCGCGGTGGGTCAACCCCTGTAAAACTTGGACAAACAAGGTCCTTCCTCTCTTGTAGCTTCATTTTGGCGATGTTGTTCATTTCCCACAAAAACAACGCGGCGGATGCGGTAAAATAGCAGGAGAATAGTAGAGAGTAATATTATTCTTCAAGCCCAAATGGGAAAGAGGAATCTGTGACACCAAAACAACGTTCTTTCCTTCCCGGTCAGCTTCTATCTCTGCCGCGCCTTCTCATTTTATCCTTTGTCCACCGAACACGCAGCACCTTCGTGCTTCCCTACGCTGTCGAAAACAACCGCCACGCTCCGCACGCCGACGAACCCACATGTTTTGTTTTGGCTACACCCTCTCCTCTCCTACTTCTCCTCTTCGTGGTGTCTCTCGCGACACCACGTGCGACCTTCAATACCACCGCACACCTCCCATTCAAAGTCACGCCTACGCAGTCACGAGATTTCTCGCCTCCGTTGCCGCCGAGCCAACCCGTCATATACCACCGCCGTAGCTTCCAACGCCCTCGTCGCCCTTTCCCCTTCTCTTTCGTCCAAGAGGCGGCGCCAACGTGTCTATTCTACGACTTCTCCGCGTTCGGTCGAGCCTCTTTGTCGCCACTTTCTCTCCTGCCGCCTACGCTACTAGCAAACACCTCAACTTGGTATCGCGTGCGCTGGTTGCTGCTAGCAGATGATGCGCCCGCCATCCACAACCAGCCGACTCCATGGAGACTGTGGTATTTGACCAGACGCCGCTCGCCGAGTATCTGAGAGGTACGATACTATTGTTCTTTTTAATTCAATATAATTTGCGTTCTCGTTTGTCGGATCTGTTTCGATAAGCTGTAGATGGCGCGGAAAACGCCCATGTCAACCTTTGATATGCGCCGGCAAATCCCACGTGCTAACCGAATACCTGTGGTTGTAGACGAGGGCGGAAACGAACCCACCACTTGGGTCCCGGCCATCACCCGCTCATCGTCCACCGCGGACCTATCTGCCGGCGACGACGTCGACGCTGACGACACACCGGGCTCCCCGTTTCCAGTGACGCCTACGCCCGACCAGAGGCACCAGTCCCACCAACAACAGCCACGACAGCGGATAGAGACCAAAGACGACAACCAGAATGTCGTACACACTCCGCCGCCGAGCCCACCCTCTCCTATATTTGCACCGGTCGGCCGGCCGATGGTTAGAAAACGCTTCCGCAACAAGATCCCAAACCCGCTGCGTGTCGACGTTCGGCGCAACACATCTCTCTCTTCCTCCCTCAACAACCGCTACTCTGTATGTGCTACGCGTTATGACCCCGTCAAAATCCAGTTCCATATCCGTGTATGCTAATCACGTTCGCGTTTGTCCGCAGAGAGCCGTCGCGTCAACAATAAGCCGTGTTGATAACGCACAGTTCATCGAAAAATTCCGATATACAATCATTACCTCCCACCTCCTCGGCGCTGCTACTCTCGGCCAGCATCAACAGCCCACACGACCCGGAAGCAGCAGTGGCGATTTCAGCGGCGATCCAGACAACAGGGCGACTCCGCCTGCCCAAGATAATCTCGATGTGCCGTTGCCAACCGCGACTGGCATTGTAGTGGCCGTGACAAGCGCGTTTGGCCTTTCGTGGGCAGTCCGTTGGGTGTACCTTGGCGGCATCGCGCACCTGACCAAAAAGCGTTTTGTTTTTGGCTTGGTGTTTGTTGCTACTGCCGTGTTTGTTGGCCATGCTTACATACGCCAGCAATGGCTTCGCTACATCAGACAGTCGGCTCTGGTAGAAGTTCGGTCCTTTGTCGCAAAGTCGCACGATTTCGACAGCGCTGCAAGTGCTTCAATCGCGTTTATCAAGGAGGTGGAGCTTGTTTCGCGGGGATACAGAATGTAAGTGTGTTTCGCGTGTTTCAGTCGGAACACTGCACCCCGGCCTCCGCGTTCCGATGGACAGGTCGCTATGAAGGATTTCTGTTAACCCCCATTCCACAGAAGCGCACCATTGCCGCCCATCAGCCGCATGGATGACAGAAGTCAGTCTAGGCGTTGCATGCGGCTGCGCAAGGTGGTCCGCAGCTCCCTTGTCGATGCCTTGCCCAAGTACATCCAGACGGCCGGGGTTATGAAAGGCTTTGCAGAGCAAACGGAACTTGAAATGCACTACCACATTCATGACATCACTGATTTCGACATCTCCGATGCTATGCAAGGCTTTTCCGAGGCCGAGTTTGATGATGCGGACTCAATTCGGACATTGACCGTTTTAACCTCGCGATTTCACACAATTCGCAAGCTGTTCCTGTGCGCGCTCCTTGCACTGGAGGCACGTGGCGACGAGTCAGACTATCTGCGCTGGGCCACCGCTGTAGAGGGACTTCGCACATTGAACGAGGTGACAATTTTCGGCTACCAACGAATGCGCTCGATTCTTGAGGCAGAGACGTTTCCGCACATCGCCACTCCGACGGCACCGTTGTCCCCGGGTCGTGAACGGTGGCGCTCGCAGCTGGGCAAGCTCAACTCGTTGTCGACCGGTATCCGGGGTCTGCAAGCCAAGCTGGCATTGCTTCGCGAAGAGTCAGATCGGTCGCTCAATGAAGCCGATGATATCACACAACTAGGGCCCAACTTGTTAGCCCAGTATGATTCCATCGGGCAAGATTTGAAGTTGCTCACCCAGGCTTGGGAGGAAGGCAGATCGGCACTGGCGTCGGGTATCGACCGTAACGAGAAGAGGCTTTCGTCAATCAGTGGTCTCCTTTCCCCGACAGCATCCCTAAGTGGACTCACCACAGTCGGCGAGGACAGCATCGACAGTGGTGGAGGAACAGCCGAAGATGCTCTGCGAGCGCTGACTGGCGGTTCACCCCTTGGCGGTAGCACGGTCGGCGACCCTGACGAAGAGGTCGTGTTCGAGGCTGTGTCCTTGCCCCCCTCCTCACGGCGCCGAAGCATGCTCACTCGTGAAGAGCGCATCGCCAGGATGAAAGAAGACCGCGAGAAGCGGGCCGAAGCACGCGAGCAGGCAGACGCCAATCGGGGCATGCTTCGCGAGCTGGAGATGGTGATCAACTTACGACCGAAGGGTGGCCACGACAACACCGGCCCAATGCCCAAGTCTGACGTGGACCGAAATTCGCTATGATGATACTTTTCATTTGAATTTACTTTTAATTTCTTTCTTCTCCCTGTTGCATTCTGCAGTGTTTTATCTTCTCTTCACCTGTTCATATTATGGCCTTTGCTACATACTCTTGGTCGTTACTACCTGTTTCTATTATTACTATTGCATGGCGCCTGGATACATACTGCAGTTTCAAAGGATCGAACCAGACAGCATGGAAACGTTTCTATCTTCACTGACAGCCTACTCAGTACCATCTTTGTACTTTTGCATCATCTTGTCTTGGAGTTTACCACCGGGAGTTTTAAGAACGTGAACGTTGAACTATCATCTGCAAACTAACCGGACCTAGATAGCAATACATAACGACGAAATTTTGAAATGCAAACCGTAACTAGTGTCCTCGTTTGTTACTTTTTTTTTCGTGCTTCTTGTTGTCCTCTCCTGGATTTGAATTTGCTGGTTTGGTGAAGCTTTGTTTTAAGCATCATCAGCCAATCACAGTTGAAGGTCTTGCCTGTCTTGGCAAGAGATGACCAACCCAAGCCAGGGCCAACTGCTCTCAGCGCTCAGCGTGCCTGGCGGCTGCCAGCGCGGCTTCATGTGGGGCAAAAAGTGCTTTAGTTGTCAACACAGAGAAGGAGCTGCCCCGCGCCAGGGCGGGTTCAATTAAACTGGTCGACGCGTCGATTCCTGGCCAAACGCGAAACTGGAAAGCAGGAGCGTGTCGTGTGCCTTGGCTGGCCTTTTCCTTTTCTCGTTCACGCGCCTGCCTCTTCTTTTGTAGGCACATTGTGTCGTCACTTTTCGTCTTTCCCTCTTCTTTTACTCTCCTTTTGTCTTTTCCCTCTCCGTCAATCTCTACTTTCTCACTTTTCCCACCACCTCATCTCAACACCCGACCTTGACGACTGCATCAGACGAATCGTGCATAGCCAGACCGCCTCGACCATTTTAAATCGCCCTCGTAATCCCCGCGATTTCCCCCTCCTCTCCTCCCCCCTCAACAACCAACCTTTTCACATCTTCACCCTCCAAAACGCCGCCATGTTAGAAGCAAGACTAGAGCAGGCGTCGATCCTGAAGAAGGTTTGTTTTGCTCGTTGCCCACGAAACTATCGGATGCATATTGCGTCTCTCAAGGTCCCTCAGTATTGACCAACTCTTCTCGTGCAGGTAGTCGACGCCATCAAGGACCTCGTCCAGGATTGCAACTTTGACTGCAATGACTCGGGTATGGCGCTGCAGGCCATGGACAACAGCCACGTCGCGCTGGTGTCCATGCTGCTCAAGGCGGAGGGTTTCGCACCGTACCGGTGCGACCGCAACGTCGCTCTCGGCGTCAACCTGACGTCCCTCACCAAGGTGCTGCGCGCGGCTCAGAACGAAGACATCCTCACGCTCAAGGCCGAGGATGCGCCCGACTCGCTCAACCTCGTGTTTGAGAGCTCCGAGAACGACCGCATCAGCGAGTACGACCTCAAGCTCATGGACATTGACCAGGAGCACCTGGGCATCCCCGAGACCGAGTACGCGGCGACGATCACCATGCCCAGCGCCGAGTTCCGTCGCATCTGCACGGACCTTATGGCCATGTCGGAGTCGGTGACGATCGAGGCGACCAAGGACGGCATCAAGTTTGCTAGCAATGGCGACATTGGCAGCGGCAGTGTCACCCTGCGCAGCCACACCAACGTGGAGAAGCCGGCCGAGAACATTGACATTGAGCTCAGCGACCCGGTGTCGCTGACCTTTTCGCTCAAGTACCTGGTTAACTTCTGCAAGGCCGCCAGTCTGTCGAGCCAGGTCAAGATCTGCCTCTCGAACGAGGTGCCTCTGCTGGTCGAGTACATCCTGACGGGCAGCAGCTACCTGCGGTTCTACCTGGCACCAAAGGTAACACGACTTTCTTCTTCCTCTTCCCCTTCAACTCTTCTCTCGGAAACATTGTCTAACGTGCATAGATTGGCGACGACGAGTAAACGACAGATTTTAAAAGGACGAGAATGTGTCGGCACGACGAACATGGGAAATCTGGGTTTGGTTTACCCAGTGCGCATGGCAGGACGTGATTTTCAGGACCGTGTAATTAACTATATGGATGGACGGCGAGGTGACTTAAACGACTATCGACGCTCCCTTATTTTATTTTATTTATTTTTTTTCTCGTTGACAATGCAACTGCTCCAAAAATATGCTTGAAGTTGTGCCGTTCTTACCTCTTGTCGTTATGCCTTCCAACCTACCCCCCCCCCCCCCCCACCACGTTGCTGACCAATTCAGCACAAGGAAGGAAAAGAGGAATCCGCGGCCGTTCTACATACGAAGAGCAAGTCGAAACGACACGCCGAGCAGTTATTGAGCAGTTATGATGTGCATAGAGTCCAATCCAACGGTCGCAATTACAAGTCCGATATACCGAATAAGAATATCTGCGGAGATCGGCCTCGCCCGCGGGGTAGGCCCAGACTCTCTCGATGGGTTTCAAATTAGACTGCCGTTTTAAGTCTCCTGCAATCGCAAAACCACAGCGCCTGTGGATTCGGTGCTTCCTATTCAGGCAAGAGTAGCCAGAGTCTGCAAAGCCTTTTGCAATGGCCAAAAGGAAGGAGCCTGGAATCGAGACTTGGCCAGAAGAAGAAAGAGCATTTTACAAGTACTGCGGTGGTGGTGGATCCTGCCGCCTATTTTGCCTCTTTTTTAGCTCGTCTTTCTTCGTTTTCATGGTGACAATTCCTTCGTAATGACTCGGCGCCAGCGCCAACGGACACTATCTCCTTTCTGGGAGATTCTCTTCTGTCCCTTTTTAGGTCATACCATTTTTGCACGCATTGTCTCGTGCCAGGGCAGTCCAATCTTCACGAGAAGGAGCGACTGTCGTTGACACATCTTTTCTTCATCCTACCACCGCTCCTTCTACTCTGTCAGTTTGTCGTGAGACTCGACCCTACGCTCCTTCCGTGTATTTCCATTTGTCACGGTGCCGATGATAGCCCCTCCGAAGCGCTTTCTCCAATTTTCTCGGGGCGGGTGCCAAGCCTAACCGTACTTGCGCCTTCATCCTCTTTCTCCCCAGGCGCCTTTTTTTTTTTTTGTTTTCCTTCCTCGACAAATTCTCCTTGTTGACAATCCCGCCACTGCGCTCTGTCCGACTTGTGAACGCCTGGCCCCCAAGTCTCGAACTGCATCTCGTGTGATTAGTTTGCGCCGAACCCCTCAGATGCGTCACCCTCCCGCCGGCCAGCCTTGCGCACGACCCCCAACACAAACGCCATTGGACGCTTGCCGAGTAAGAGTCACCACTTCCGGGGTCTCTTTGTGCAACTTTCGCACCTCGCGTCCCGCTCTCGTCGGTCTCTACTCTTCTCGGCCGCAACACCCGCTGATCTTACGCCGGCACGCCCCCGTCCCCGTCCTTTCTGTCCGATCTTTTCGCCCCGGCCAGAGCCACGAGCGATGTCAGCCGAGCCGCCAGTGCCCGAGACACGGGTCTTGGCCATTGCCAGCCATGTAAGAGGACCCTTGTCTCGCAAATGGATCGAATGCCGTTTTCCACCGGGCCCGGTTCTAACTGTTGCTTCCTAGGTTGTGTCTGGGTAAGCTCCTGTCCACGTGCAGAAATAACAAAGCCTGGTATTTTTGTTTTCCTTCAGTGCTTTGCTGACAGAACGGTGCCTGCTCTCTGCATGTAGCCATGTGGGCAACAAAATTGCCGTTTTTGCTATGCAGTCTTTAGGGTGTGACGTTGCTGCGTTAAACACCGTCCAGTTCAGTCCGTCTCTCCCCTGTCGTTCACGACAAAAACGCTTCGGCTCCGCGAGTCTCGATTCTCCCCATGACTAACAACGCGGCGCTTCTGCCTTTGGCCGAACAGGCAACCACACAGGATACAAACAATGGAGAGGAACACGCACATCAGCAGAGGAGATATGGGACATCTTCGAGGGACTGAAGCAGTCATATCTGGACAACTTTGATATGATGTTGTCCGGGTACGTGCCAGGGGCCGCAGCGGTCCAGGCAGTGGGCCGCATTGCCGAAGAGCTGCGCAACCGGAAGATGGCCAACCCAGGTGACTTTTTTTGGGTCCTCGACCCAGTCATGGGGGACAACGGCAAGCTGTACGTGGCCGACGACGTTGCACCGGAGTACAAGAAGCTGCTCAGCCATGCCGACCTGATCCTGCCGAACCAATTTGAAGCAGAGTAAGTCGGCCGTGGAAAAGAATATCTGGCTCTAATTTGGTTCTTGTGGGCAAAGCGCTAATGCAGTACAGACTCTTGTCTGGTGTCAAGATCAAGAACATGGAGACGCTCGAACGGGCCATCCAGGTGCTCCACGAGCAGTTCCAGGTACCACACATTGTGATCACATCCGTGTCACTCAGCCACCCGAATCACCCGCCGTCGTCACTCTCCGTCATCGGCTCGTCCCGCACGTCCACGGGCCAGGCACGCACGTTCAAGATTGTGTTCCCCAGCATCGACTGCTACTTTAGCGGCACGGGTGATATGTTTGGCGCACTCATGGTTGTCCGTATGCGCGAAGCCGTTACGAACGCACCCGACGCCGCCACTCTTTTGCAGCGCCGCGCCTGGTTGAGCGATGATAGCGTGGACGCCATTGACCTGCCGCTGGCACGTGCAGCCGAGAAGGTGCTGGCCAGCATGCACGAGGTGCTCACGAAGACGTGCGACGGTCTGGAGGTGCAGATGCAGGCTGCCGAGGCGACTCTTGACCGCCACGGCGTGACAGGCGATGCGGAGCGCGCCAAGGCGCTGCACTTACTCAAGTCGGGGGCGGCGGAGCTGCGGCTGCCGCGCAACGTCAACTCGCTGCGGTCGCCCACCGTATCCTTCCACGCCGTGAAGATGCAAGAGTAGGTGAGCAAGATAGAGTTACAGAGAGTGAGAGCATACATTAAACAGAATACGGAGTCTACCTGGCTACGTCTTGGGTCGCATATTAGACACATTGGGGAGGCATGGGGTTTTTTTATTTTTTTAACTTTCAGCTTTAGACAGCATAATCACTTTCAACAATAAAGGAAGCTGAGTACAAAATCCTCGTGTCGTTTGTATGTATCTCGTTTATCAAAATATATATATATCTCATCAGATACGCAACGGCTACCTGCTAGCCGGCTTCATAATGTTTCTCGTTCACCCAAGGGGAAAACTACGAGCATATCCTTGCCCGGATCGTCATTTCCTACGCTCCGTTTTGAAAAAAGAAAAAGTAAAACTCCGAAGCAAAGCACTCTGGCGCGTTGCATACCCAGTGTATCATCTATTGGCGACAAGGTTGGACAGCATTTTGCTTACGCAGTGCCCTCCGTCGGAGCCGGAACTGGTGCAGCGGTCGGGGCGGCAGCGGCCGGAGCAGTCGCAGTAGGAGCACTAGCACCAAACCCACCTGTGCTGCCAAAGCCGCCAGCACCCCGAACGCTCTCCTCCAGCTGTGCCACCTCGACCACGTCGGGGGTCACAATCCGCTCCAGCACCAGCTGGGCCACGCGGTCGCCCGCGGCTACTGCAAAGTCCGTCTCGTTGTGGTTGAAGAGCAGCACGCGAACGTGGCCCCGGTAGTCGGCGTCAATCACGCCCGCACCTGTGTCGATAAAGTGCTTGGCGGCCAGCCCCGAGCGGGGCGCGATGCGGCCGTAGGTGCCGGCGGGGACCGCCATGGCAATGTCCGTGTCCACAAGGGCCTTGCCGCGGGCGGGGATGACGCAGGCGCGGGCAGCGTATAGGTCGTAGCCAGCAGCAAAGGCGCTGCCACGGGTCGGCAGCTTGGCGTCGGCAGAGAGCTTCTGGATGGCGAGGGCGGGAACAGGAGCCGGAGCCAAAGCGGCGGCGAGCGACTGAGGCTGTTCTGTCTGCTGGGCCATGCTGTCGGTCTTGACGCGCTTTGCGGGTGGGGAGGTAGGCGGGGAGTTGGCAAGGAGGGGAACGACGGGCGATGACGGAGCAGCAGCAGCGACTGGGGCGTCGGTGGTCATTCTTCGTAGGCGAGGTAGGTGGTGGTGCAGGTTGGGGTGGGAGAGAGTTCGTGAGAGATGCTGATGTTGAGGCGAGTGTGGTAAAGATTGGTTTGAGAGTAAAGAGCGTATGCAAACGAATGGAAAGCTAGCAAAGCTATATTTTGAAGTCGGGCGAGGAAGGCGCAGAAACATTGAGAAAGGAAGGTGCAAGAGAGGTTGTTGCAGCTGGTGGGAGAGTGGACGACGCGTCGCGGAGGTCCAGCTGGACGCGTTAAGTGGATTCTGGTGGCATGTGGGGCTGTAAGGAGAGGGAGCCCATTGGCCAATGGCGGAAAGAACGATTGACAGGGACTCGAGGAAGGAAAGGCGAGGAAGTTGTCAATGTTTGAGGATCTATAACTACCTTCACCTCAAGCGAGTCAAGCAGCCCTTACCATGCTACATGAAACGAATGCAAGGAGGTTCCAGCCAGACATCAACATCATCTGGACCGAGGCCCATCTACTCCGTATTTCGTGTACGTTTGCACCCCAAACTCGGGTTAAAGAACTGAAATATGGAACTGCTCCTAGCTCTGATATTTATAAAAGTACGACGTATATAGCCATGTATATGTACGTCAAGACTCGAGCTTACCATGTTGTCGTGGATTTTGTTTACTGAGAGTCCCCAACGGAAGCTTGGCTCTACAGTTGCAAAATGATAAGGCGTGGCAGAATCCGCAGGGGCCAGCGGCCTAGCTACATAGGTTTAGGGCAGTTTTGTTACCCCATACTTTAACGGTCGTTTCCTGTAGTTGGAGCTGGCCGCTGCGTCATACATCATGAGACTCCTTGTGTTGTCCCTTTGCCATTGTGCCACGCCATTATTTACGCTATTAGGTTATCGTCAAACGTCTGAAGCACGCCCTGGCCGCCGTCTATTGATAACATCTAAACAGGGAAAAGTTGTAAAAAGTATGGGCCCACGATCCAGAAGTACGGATAGGCAAGTCACGGTGTCGTGGTGTAGCATTGCTCCTTCAGCAACGGCCGTTAAGACCCGGCCACAGATCGGTCTGTCCATGAAATTCGGTCGAAATCCGGAATGGCTTGTCGAGCTGTTTCCATTTAAAATGACCAACGTCCTCCTCGTCAAAGAAACCATCAAACGAGAGAGGTATAGCGGCCAATGGCCAATTTGCGGGGTAGACGAGATGCAACCTAGACCTGCATACCAGTCCATGAAAACCAGTGCAGATAGTAGTACCAATATATGATGTCTTCATCGAGTGCTACCAGCCTGCCTCAGCGAAGCTCTGTAACATCCTTCACCACGTCGAGAGCACCATTCAATCAGACATGATAAAACGACTTCCTTGTTCGTTCCTCATCGAAAAAGAGGCGAGAGCGAGTGGACATCACCTTAGACCAAAGAAAACGACGGAATGCTCTAGGCCATTGCCTCTCTAGAAGCTACTTCCCTCCCGTTCCCCTCGTCGAGTACACGCGACCACCAGCTGCTTTCAGTGTCGGAGCTTCTGTACGCTCCTTCGCCCTTTGTTGTCCACTGGTCACCCTCCATCAGGAATTTCGAGGCACACCTTTATAGTTATGGCGTAGCTGCTCTGATCCCGACGGGCCTAATTGGTCGGTGAGGTCATATGGTCTGCTGATCAGCACTCCCAGAGATGGTAGAGCATAACAGTATTCACGCAAGGCAGGTTCCTATCTGCTAACGTCCGCTTTTGATGACAATTCAGGCAAAGTCCGACGTTGTTTGCCTTTTGTAAAGCGGTGCCTCGACACATTCCTTTTGCGCTACTGGGCCTCTTTCGCCTTCTGCTGTCCAAGGCCAAGAAAGGCCCTGTTCTGTCGTGGGCAGATGTGACCACTAACAAATAACGAATAAAAGAATAATGGTCCGCCTTTCCCTGTCTTTGTCTGATACATATAGCAGGGCGACCCCTCGTTTTTGACATCTTCCTCCCTTGCTCTCTTTATTCTTTCCCTCTCACTAACCTGTCTTTGCGTTGACAAAAAACCACCAACTCAGTCGAGACACTATATCCTCTACATCATCCTCACTTATCCCACAAAACAATCCAGCTCATTATCCAAATATCATCATGGACTCTCCTGGGGGCAACGCCGCTCGCCAGCAGCGAGCCGATTCGACCGGCTCGACCGGTTCCAGTGGCTCCATGGGCCGTCGTGTACGTCTGACGCACCGTACCAGAAGGACAAGCAAGCCAGCAAGCTAACACAATGTAGAAGTCGTCCAGCCTTTTCTCCTCCCTGGAGCAGCAGAAGCGCTCCAACGATCCCGAGCAGGTAGCTCGCCGGGCCAGCATGCACGACCAAAAGCCGGCGCCGGGCATGATTGGCAAGTGGTGGAGCAGCTATGTTCACGGAACGGGGCAGAAGTAAATAAGTTGGGGGTGGCTGGATGTTTCGCCAATCAAGCAAATATATGTGTGAACAAGATGGTGCGGTATACTATTATGACCTTTTGTTTTATTTATTTATTTATTTTTTTGTAAGTATGAGTTCAATATAGTTTCTGTCTTCATTTGATTCATTTCATTCGTTTACAGTCTAGTCATGATCAACTCCAGAAAGGCCATAACCAAAATAGAAGGCAAAGTCTAAACCCACTGTGTAAACCGAGCATAAGAAAATGAAGTAACAAAGCCTAGCCTCGCATATACTACACAAAAATCGATGCAGAGATCGCGCATGGATTGAGGAAGAAACGAAGAGGAAAGTGATACTCGAATAGAGCATAAGGGTGTTAAGTCATAAATCCCTTGGCATATAGATTAGTGGCACCCAGGATTAAAAACCTACCAAGATTGAATGCCCACGTCCACCAGGCTTCCTGGACTGAATAGTGTATACGCCCGAGGATTGTGACGGGGAGGATACGAGTTTGACGTAAGGGCCACGAGTGATATGCAGAATCACTACGATATCACACGCATGTAAAAACAAATACACACGACAGTACATATACAAGTCGCCGGAGATTAGGAAGTGGCAAGGCTTAGGCGGGAAATGCAATGGACGGAAAAGCAAGGTTGGTCGGTAAGGTGCGAACAGTGCATATGAAAGATGTTGGATTGGCAAAAGTCAAAAGGCAAACAAAACTCCCCTTTTTTCGTGTTCCTCCCGTCGCCCAATACCTGTTGTGTCTCATACCGCAAAACCAAAGAAAGGATGAAGGCAAACAATAAAGACAGTCTCAGTATGATAAAGTGGCGAAAGAGCTTCCGTCACGTTCAGCAAACGCGGCTAAACAAATCACAAGCCAATGAACGAAAACAGGAATGGTAGAAACGGGTTGAATAAGAGGCAACGTGATAAAAATAATAGGCAGGACAGAAACCAGGTGAGATAGACAAAGATGGAACTCGGCCATTCCGTCAGCCCAAAACGCCACCGGAAAGGAGAGGAGCAAAAACAATAGCTGTAGTGTATTGGAAGCGGTGTCGTGAAGAGAGGAGAGGCACATACATGCGGCCATCGTCGGAATCGCCGACGATAATCGCACTGATTTTACGCACGGTGCTTCTCGCTTTCTGTTTACATGGTTAGCACTTGGTCCAAGGTAAAAGGGTGTAGGAAAGTGAAAAATCATCGTACCCAGACGAGAGTACAGCATGTAAAGGGCCATGCGGTTGCACTCCTCGGTACCTGAGATGGTCACGAGACGCTCGTTGCTGTTATCCTGGGGCTCATTGATCTTGATCATACTGCCCGAGATCTGGCGGATCTCGTTGATCTTCTGGCCGCCCTTGCCAATGATCGCACCGACCATGTCGTTAGGAATGAAAATCTGCTGCGTCAAGGGTGCGCCAGGCATGCCACCAGCAGGGCCGGCCGGGCCGCCGCTGTGCATGGGCTGTCCGCCGTGGGGACCGTGCGCCTGGTGGCCGCCGTGGTGCGGTGCAGCGTGGTGCGGCGGTACCTGAGCACCATAACCACCCGCACCACCCTGGGCACCGTACATGGGCACTACCGGGCCGGGGCCGCCGTGGGCCGTGGGAGCACCGTACGGTGCGCCGTACGGTTGGGGAGGCATGTGCGACCGAGCATCCGGCCGGCGACCGCTTGCGTTGTTGTTGGTGTAGTTTTCCGGGCGGCCGTAGTTGCCAGTGGCAGCCTGCGGCATGTACGGGGCAACCTGCATGCCGCCAGGGACCAGGCCAACAGGCCCACCACCACGGGCAGCATAGGCAGAAGCAGCCGGGCCTCCAAAGCGCTCGTTGAGCTGCTCCAACAAAGTGCTGCCCACGTAGTAGGTCGCAATGTGGACAGCGTCCGCAACGCCCATAACAACAAGCGAACGCTCCGACGAAAGCGGCAGGCACGAATCTGAGGCGTTCAGCCGAGCACCAGAGGCTTCCTGGATCTCCTTGATACGGGAACCGCCCTTGCCAATGATGGAACCTATCAGAATGTGCGGGATCAAAAGACGCAGTGGGTACGTCTTTGAGTGAGCATTAGACGGCTCGCCCAGCGGCTCGTTGTTCAGAGTCCGGATGATGAGACCGAAGGCCTGGAGAAGAGTCAGTCAATGTGAATACCATGCGAGAATCCGAAAGACGGGACAAACCTTGGCAACCGCGTCGACGACGCCGCTCACTGTGAGGATGCGCTCAACGGCGCCTTTCTGGTAGTCGCTGACGGTGCACTTCGCATTCGACATCTGGCGAATCTTGGACACGTTTTCACCACCCTTGCCGATAATCGTAGCAGCCTCCGGGCTAGAGATAACGGCACGAATGTGGATCCAAGCAGTCTCGTCATGGGCGTTAGCCGAGCTGCCCTGGGCCGGCGCAGAGTTATTGGTAGTGCTTGAGGCAGACTTGGCTTCAGCGCCGTCAGGGGTGCTGGCTGCATCCTGATCGTCCTTGGTGCTGTCCTTCTTGTCGCCATTGGTCTTGCCACTGCCGTTGGACTCACGGGACGAGATGGGAACCGGGGGAATGGACGGGAGGCCGTTGCTTTCCTTAATTTCGCCCTCGTTACGGACCACCTTGTCCAGCGCAGGGCGCTTGGCGTCGGGCTGATCGCCGGTGCGGGACGGAGAAGACACCTCCTCGAGGGGGCGCTTGGTCGAAGTCGGCGGCGGAGAAGTCGACATTGCGAAAAGGTGTGTCGAGAGTGGTTCGGGTGAATTAAAAGTGCAGAAGCCGTCGTACTTTGCAAAAATCACGTAGCCAAGAAGAGCTTAAACCTTGGCTCTTCTCTCCGGGATGACTTCTCTTGGTCAAGAGAAAACAGTTAAAATGGTCAAACTTTTTTTATTCGTGCCTATCTACACCTCGAAAGGTTTTCAGCAAGGAAAACTGTGCAGGTGTAGTGGCGGATCGGGGCCGGATGGGACACTCTTGGATCTGGCTGGGCAGTAAAGGTGTGCAGGAAGCTGTGCAGGAAGCTGTGCAGGCCGGGCGGTGTTTAAAAAAACGAAGTGAAGCAACAGTCGTGTGCGCGAGAGGCAAGGATGTGCTTGAAGATCTGTTGCTACGTGGGACCGAACGATGGGTGGACGTTGAAAGTTGAACGGTAGGCGGTGCGCGTGGTTGATGAACGGATCGTCTGCAATGAAGTGATCGGAAGGACAAAACTCTCTCGTGGTGCGGGAGAGGTGCAATGAGCAGAGGATAGAGAGTGAGAGTGAGATTGAGAGTGCTCAAGGAAGGCGGCGATAGAGAAGAGGATAGAGATGGACGAGGCGATGGGCTCGTGCGGTGACGGAGGTCGAGAAGTACTTGGAGGAAGAGACGAGGCAAAAAACGGGCAGCGGGAGGTGCTGTAGGGACCTCGTTTTCTCAAACCTGACGGGGATGAAGGGTGAGAGCGCAGCAACCGGTTGGGGCAAACAAACCACCTGCGCGTTTCCGTTTCGACACTTGACTCTGCAAAAGCTGAGAAGATCCTGAGAACAGGAAACCCAGAGAACCTACGATCGAAAGAGGATCGCGGGATGTTCGTTGGGTTCGGGATGGGGGATTTGGGTTTTGCTGTGCGCAGGCGGATGGGCGACCGACAAAAGACCTACTTCTGCGACCGAAGATCGAAGGCGGGATGGCGATGGGGTAGAAGAAGATGGAACGGCTGAAAAAGAAGATGGAACAAAAGGGGATGAAGCTGAGAGATGTTCGAGGAATGGTAATGCTTCAGAGGGCTACTTTGACGTGAAAAGTAGGAGGACAGGCGTCAAAAACCCAAACAAGGGGGCGGAGGAAAATGGGAAAGAACGTAAAACAAGGGCACGGTGCTGATCAAAAAGGGTGGAAGGTACGAAATACCATGCAAGGGATGGCGGTGGGCAAGGGCTGTGTGCGGCTGTCTCGAGATGAGATCTGGACACGGGAGGAAAGAGGCAAAAAGGGAGGGAGAGGAAGGAGCGGGGAAGGGCAAAGGCGTGTGCAGAAGCAACTGCCTGGAAGATTGGGCAGCACACAGCGCACAAACCCTGTGGCGCTCCTGCCTTTTCCCAGCTCCAGAGCTGGTTCTCGACCCTTAATGCATTTTCAGCCAATCAAATAGGCTTGGTCGACCCGCTTCCAAAAAAACAGTGCTATTTGAGCTCATCAGTGTGGTAATTAACACTGTTAGCACTGTGTACTTAGTAAGAGATGTTTGTGCGTTAGCATGTGCCATATATTTTGCACTGAATCCTTAACAGGAAGCGACGTACGAAATATGATTACAGTTAGGGTGACTACCCACGACGCGTTTCAAATTCGCTGCAGCAGGCGCGCCTTCGAAAGCTAGTCAAAGGAGGAGCAATCCAAGCGTCGCGGGCGTCGTTGGAAGGCACAACATTACAGAGTACTCCGTATGTCGTACTAAGGATGATATTGGATATTGCAACAAAGTTGTACTCCATTGTGACGAAAATTCGCGAGACGGCACCAAGGTACGCAAAAGACACGCCAACAAACGCAAGAGATACATCAAACATTACCGTTGCACCATTGATGTGATACGCTTGTTTACGGTACTTCAACTCTGCGTCGCACTGCGTCTCGTCGAGCAGTAAATATTGCCTTCCTTCTTTTGCGTTCACCAGTTGTCTGTGCAACGTGTGCCCGGCCCCTGTTCTTCCCAACCCCGTGTTCTGCCCGTCTCTGACATATCTTGCAGATCGTCAGGTTCGTCCTAGGTAGACACTTCTAGGAAGGAGGGCTAGGCGCTGCTGCATGACTACAGGGCCTCGGCCTCGTGATTTTATTCTCGAACCGTATCACATCCTTCTTTGTCCGTGCACATAACTTGCGAACGAGGCCTGGAGGGATGGAGGAGACGCCACGACCTATCACGCAAGATGATTTGCATGCAACATATGTCGAGCGGTCCATCCGAGAGCTCCAGCGTGCGGTCCAGGAGGAAGAGGGTGTTCTTGCCGAGGTATGTCGAGTTTTTATGTGTTTTTTTGTGCCGCCCACCGTCACCTTTCTAGTCGATGTTGACATGCATTCTAGCTGCGGCGGAGTGTTGCGGGTGCTGCGCCGCTGACATCGGCCACGGCATCGCTCTCGATTATGACTTCGGCATACGATGCGGCTGCACGGTCAGACCCGTTCTTACCGTTTGCAGACTCAGTCTTGCCGGCACTGCTAGCCATGCGCAAGACACATGGAGTCCTGGCCGAGTCACAATCTTACCTCGGCGGCGAGGGAGCAACGTCGTCTCCGGCCCTTGCCGAAGCTCAGAGGCGGCTGGCATTAGACAAGGCGCGACTCGCTGACCAGCGTGCACTACAGAAAGCCCTCGAAGAGCGCATCGTCGCCCTGCGTAGCGGTGTCGAGGCACGGAGCACCATGACGGCAGAGGAGAAGCGGCAGGAGGCGCTGGAAAAACTACGGTCAAAAATCAACGAGTACGACCGCGATACGGCTGCGCTGCTCAAATCGCTCAAGAAATTTATCCAGGAGCGGCTAGGCCCGATGCTCGCCGCCGAAGAGCTGGGCGGACCTGTCGTCGGCAGCATGGTAGACATCCAGACAGACGACCTTGCAGCCGGGTTTAGCTCGCAAGGTAAACTACGGAAACAACCGTCGGGCGATAAGGCCAGTAAGAATGGCAAGGGGCGTCACGAGGACCGGCGACAACGGCGCATTGACGAGATCTGGGGCCCAAGAGGCGGGGCTGGTGGCGGCGGCAGTAGCGACGAGGGTGAGGGTGATGAGGGAGAGGACAGGAGCAACTGGGACGAGGCCACGGCGGCGGCGGCCGAGATGCAGGAGCTCACGGAGGAGCTCCTGAATGCATTAGCAGATGCAGGCGGTGACAGCTCGGCAGCCTATGTGACCATCCTTCGAGAGTCGGCCGCCGCGCGCTTCTTGGTCCGGTCCAAAGTGGCACAATTTCACCCGCGGGATGCCACAAAGCTGCGGCTGATTGATTTCGGTCGCGAGCTGGATGATTGACGAAGTTGTTGCCAGTGTGCGGAACGAGGGAGATAAATGAAAGATACCTGCAACGATGCGTTGCACCTCCTGTCGATCCAAACAACCCCATGTTCGTATGAACCAAACACGATTATCTGCAGGTTCAGGGATGGCCAGTCCATACTCCCCCCTTCTCGAAGGCCATCGGGAGACCCACGATGACAGTTCATGTACAGGGGCTGTTTCATCGCCTAGCTAACGTCGATTCTGCCGACATAGATGCTCCTGAAACTGGTGCACATGTCCGGCGATATCAAAGTCGCAATGTAGATAGGCCAATAGTTCTGGGAAGACAGTGAGGCTCTACATACTCATCCAGGCCGCAGAAAAATCCCTTGCGACACGATGGACTTGATTAACGCTACATTACGAAACGCAGTTACCAATTATGCAATATATAATATAAATTTACAGAAACTTATCACATACTGACTTCAACAAAGCGCGGGCGTAGTAACGGTGCTTTGATATGACATGATGAAGGTCTCTTTATGTTTGGATAGCCTTGTGTGTCTCCTGTTGTTCTAGCTACGGCGAACCATAATTTTTCCTTTATTTAGTTTTGTTGATTTGCCTTTTTTTTTTAAAAAAAAAATCGCCAGGGGCTTATCTCATTGTTTTTGATGTATATATGTGTGTACATATAAATATATATATATATATATATATATATATAAATATTTGTTCATGGTTATTTGTTTTGTCTTTCTTTTTACCCCCCCAAATACCACAAAAAAATGTTGAACGGCATTATATATTTATTCCAAATTATTTTATGATACCGTTGAACTATGAATAGCAGATTATCAAGTAAGGTATGGGTATACCTAACCTACTCCAAAGACAACAAGACACAATGATTTGATACTATTTTGATGCCAGCCAGAGCACGTTTCGAAAAACACCATGTATCACGATACACTTCATACTAAAATCGGTGAGTCGCCATTACCACGAACAAAATCTAGCAGATCGTCTGCACAGGGGCACGGTAAATTCCAAGCTCGGACCATTCTTGAGGCATCCCTTTGGTGTCGAGAACAAAAAGAAATAACGACATGAGATGTAGCTAGTGAGGCACGCACGCCGCCAAATTTTTTTCTTTTTTTTCTTTTTCTTTTTCTTTTCTTTTTTGAAAAAGACGCGAAAGCCATGTCGATATGACCTCGTATGGCATTGGAGTCGGATACTACTATCATTTCTGTTCACTAACGGCCATCTGCTTCATTTCTCGGCCGCCTGGGCATATCTCAGAGTGGTACTCGAGACATAAGGGCGATGTCGACAAAAGGAAATGTACTGATTGTTCTTGATGGGGAGTTTGGCAAGCAACATATATAAGTAGACCACGAAAGCCTCGACTCGACGACAAAATACTCGAATAAATACAAGTCGTGACAGTCGTGACAGTCGGACAATAACCTATTGGTTGTCACCGCTGTGCCAACCATCAGCAACTTCGTGCAGACCGAAATAAATACCCCCGACGACGTGATGTTGGTTGGGGACCTTCGCCATACCTCTCTGGCTCGACGACATAAAGAATCGCCATGGGCCATGGACCTGCCTAGGCCAACCAAACGACAACGTGTATCTGTTCATAACCACGGGTTGCCAAAACAAGACGACTAACACCCAGCTGTACACGATGGCGAGGGCATTGATAATCAAACATGGCGCAAGA